CAATATAAGTGTACGCGGGAGGGAGCTCCTCTGAAACTGCGCTGTCCGAGACCAATTAGGTTCCAGCGTTTGGGGATGAATCCCTGTCGATGGTGAATGGTGCGATGGTAAAAAGTAGCCGTCATCAAGTCAAACAGTTCTTTCAGACATAATAAAAGATTAAAAAAAAGAAAGTTTATGAATATTATTTTTCACGGAACCTACAGAAGTACAACAGTAATTATGAAAATGAATTACGTCCGAAGTTTATCGTTGGCGCGCTGCAAATTCTGAATTTTGCTGGGACAAATAATACAGACTTGGTAGTCATTATTTATTGTCTTGGATGATCTCTATAGGACTGTATAATGAATAACAATTTTCGTCCACATCCATCATTTATTTGCTTTAAGTATGATAATTATGAAATTACAGGATAAGAGGCATGACATCATAGTCCTCTAAAATGGCAACGCGTAGGTTGTATCACGGGCATTACATGATACAACCTACATATATGCAGTCGATATTTACTACTTACTAATAATAATAATATTTCTGGATAATTTACACAGCGTCATCTAGCACCAAGATAAGCTTGTGTTATAGTTACTAAACAACTGATATAAATACATATGTAATATATATTAATATCAAGTAGGACGTCAGTTTATTTGTCATTGTATAAAAATATTACTTTTTTCACATTCTTTACCTAATTGTTACTAATTCTCATTTGAAGTGTCTTAAAACGTATATTATCTCATGTTACATTGTATAGGTATATACCTATAATATATGTTATATAGTATTGTTAGTACTATAACATTTGTGATATTTATGTCTAAAGACAATTGAAACTTCTCATCAAGTGGAAATATAGCCTGTAAACACGCTATTATAAATTGTAAAAATTGTTAAGTATGTAAACAATATTTATTTTTGTGGTGACAGAATAAGAAAACAATGTCTAACGATTCGTTTTCATCCCCCGGGTATCATAACAAACGACTAGGGAAATCAAATCACAAATACACTGGTTTAAGAGACGGAAAATACGAAATAAAACCTTATTGAAATACAGAGAGCATTACATTGGAGAAAGACGGCAATTTTTTTTTTCTCAGATTAATTTATTAGTGAAGAAAATTGTAGCAATGTTTAACCTCTATGTATTATATCCCTAACTACACTGAAAAATTACTTCTTTCCATTCAAAAGTTGTTAAGAAACCAACATTATATAATGATTTCTTTGTGATTTTTATTTTGCCATAATCTTTTGAAGGGGGTAAATGAAAAAGTAAAAAAGTACTAAAATGCATTATATAGTGATTATATCAATATGTAAGTGTATGAGTTAACTGTCGCGGTATGATAATGCTAATCCAACCTCGCGACTCCAGCATTGCGCTGGTAGGTAGACCATGTGGTTTTTAGTAGGTAAGAATGCCACGCCCGTTACCCCTTGACTTTTTAATTGACGGTTTTTACCATAAAAAAGTTAGATGAGATAGCAATCGCTATTTGTCAAAATGTATTTAGTAGTAATTTGAAACTGTTTGTAATATTTGTTATTATCGTATGTTTATATTAAATTATCTTTGTATTATTTTTTTAAAGAACTGAATAAAGTGAATTCAATGTACGGATGTTTGTTACTCTTTCACGCAAAATAAGAGGGACAGATTCCAACGAACGTTGCAACAAACAGATCATACATCAGATACATTTAGACCATAATGTAGAAAGTTCTTTAAAATATTTTTTCTTTTGTTAATCCTACCGTATTACTTACTTAATTTGTACATGCGTTGTTGGGACAAAATATATAAAATATGCCTAAATAAAAGGATAATACATCCTAACTAAATTCTTGAATGAATTGAATTTATAAATGAAAATAATCCAATAGGCGAGGACCGCCACTAAATGTACTTAGTAAACAATAATCACCATACTAGTATATAAATTTCGACAGATACAATAATCCGCACCACTAGGCGGCTACCGAGATGACATACAGTAATGGCCGACTGCATCGCCATCTGGTACCAACACAGAGAATTAGCCAACAAGCGGCAGTCTTCCTACTAAAATTGGTACATATGCCCTCACCGTAACATGCGTACTTGGTTAATTAACCATGAGATTTTGAGCCTTAATGCAACGGGTTAAAGGTTACGAGAATGCATTATGTTAGACACATCTGCGTTGGATACTGGAATAAGGTTTTATGTGAATCTTAAGAGTAAATGAGAGTCTTAAAAGAAAACATTGTATTGATATAATATGTCCATATATTGTTTTAATTAATGATAGAAATTAGAATAAATTTTAATGTAATGATGCACTCGTATACTCTAACGGTATTTGCTGGCGGGGCACCAGTGCAAGACGATAAGATGAGTACAAGGTCAGGTCTAACTGACCGTTCATAGAATTAAATTGGAAGGAAATTCTTGCCAGTTCTTCTCAATTGAATCTGTATACTGAACGGGACAGTAGAGACAAAAATATTAGTACAAATAATTTGACATTCATAAGCGGGTAAGAAGTCCTAAAAGAATAAATGATTTTTGATTTGATTTGATTTGATTTCATAAAATTAATCAAATTCACTTGGATTTTATTCCCTTTCACTTAATAATATACCTAATTTGTCATATAAATGTGGACTATTCACTACGACAAGGCAATCTTTGAACATAAATCAGCATTCGTAGAGCCATTTTCTTTCACTATATTCCGGAGTATATATTTTGCAAAGTATATCTAGTATAGATATGTATATCTAATATATTATAGAGTAGTTAATACTACTATATAATGCAAGTTATATTCATTTATGGAAATATCCTTGTTCGCAATAGGATCATTAGTCCACATTACTAAAAATCCCCTTCATTCATTCACAAACATTTGTATTCATGAATACAATTGTTTGTATCAGTCTGGGTGTTTTCTATGTATAATATGTATTTACGAAAAAAAATCTATGTATTTGTATCTGTTATACTTAGCTTAACTTGGGTATACATGACGAGAATTGTGAATTATCCTGAGATTATTATTATTATCCATTCGACGGGCAGAATAAGCATATATACTTAGATTTTTTTTGTACATACAGAATATACGTAGAAAACACCCCAATCACCAAAATCACCCAAATATTTGCACCGTGCGAGGAATCGATCCCACAACTATCGGAAGTAAAGCGTTGTGCTAAACCGCTAGACCACCGAGCTCGTTAAAATATATAAAAAGAAATCTAAACAATTTAGAAAAATAGGTATTTTTTTCTACTACGTTCGTTTGCCGAGAAACTTTCTTGCTCAGAGACAATCCCATTGCGTCTAATCGCTAATAGAATTTAAACTCGGAGTATATTTTAAGATAAAATTCACTAGACCTCACAAATTCAAGCTGACATCAGAAGCTTAGAATTTAATCTAAATAATTAACGGCGGAATTCAGTTATATTGGGACGAAATAAAGGTAATTGTTAAGTTCATTAAGAAATAGTAGCGCCCACTCGTTCGTCTAAAGGCATTCTTTTTAAAATTATTCAAATAATATTAATTTTAGAAATTATTTTGACTAATTTAATTACAGGGCATTATTGTTTTTTGTTGCCATTTCTTATATCTAAGACCTTAGTCTTAAAGCATGGCAACACACAAATCCCGCGGACGTCACAAATAAATTTTGTGAAATATTTAAACACTTGTGTGGGGGGAACGTGTCTGACAGATACTTTTGATTGTCTCCAATCTATTCTAGTCTGTATTTAAAGATCTTCTAATTTATGTTCAAAAACTGGAAACTGCATCTTGTGTCTTGTGCCTTGTATTTATAGCGAGAGTCTGTTCAAAGTTGACTGCAAGGTATCGTAATTATAGTATTACTAGCTGAACTTCGTATGCACACTTACATTTATATATATTTCATCCAATTTACTTAATATCTTTTAAAATTATAGGCTATGTGTTATTCTGGTGGTGTAAAGTAAAGTTTCATCAAAATCCATTTAGTAGTTTTTGCGTGAAAGAATAATAAACATCTATCTATACTCACAAACTTTCGCTTTTATAATATTGGTATGTAATATTATGTTATCTGTTACATTGGTAAGATACTTAAGGCATCCATTACATCTTCATAAAATGCCATTTTGCATATTAATTCCAGATAAAATGAACTACATTTTGATTTGATAGTGCGTTTGAAACAATTTTTCATTATCATCATCATCATCCTCGCAATTTTCGTAAAAAGGGATACATACGTACATTTTTGCTTCATGTATTAATATATAGATAATCATTACATAGTATAAAACAAAGTCGCTGTCGGTGTGTCCGTTCCTATGTATGCTTAAATCTTTAAAACTACGCAACATATTTTAAAGCGGTTTTTTTAATAGATAGAGTGACTCAAGAGGAAGGTTTATATATATAATATGTACATGTACACCCGTGCGAAGCCGGGGTGGGTAGCTACCCATCTGAAATACTATTATTACTAGATAGTAATAATAATATTTCAGGACAACTTAGACAGCGCCATCTAGTCCCAAGCTGAGTAGAGCATTGTGTTATGGGTACTAGATGTGAATACATACTTAATATACATAGAAAACACCACCCATATAAATATATATACTCATGAATACCAATTTTTGTACCGAGGAATCGAATCCGCGACCATCGGAAATAAAGTGTGCCGCTAGACCACCGAGCCTGAAAAATACATTCAGTCATATATACTATAAAATCTGGTTTAATTTCAGAGTTTTTTTGAAATTTTTATATGTACCTATGTGAATGATAACAATATGAAATATTTTTAATTAGTGCAACATTTAAAATGCTAATGATGTTTACTTTACGCGTCCATACATGGCAGTATTAAACGCACTTTATAAATTATGATCATAACATAATCATTACGGGTCCATAGTAAGGGATGTTCTCCAAGCCTCCGCTTTCAGCCAGTTGATTTTCTACCGAGCTGAGGGATACACGCGTCTCCCAGCTCGCCAATGAAATAGCGGGAAACCGCGATCTACCGTTCGAAACTTATTTGCTCACTGTAATTTCTTTTTAAATAATTCGAATTTTAAATTTAAAATGTGTTGTGACATTCTTATGACTGTATAATTCCTTTTTTGAAAGTTTCTTGCGTGTAATTTGTAACAATGGATTTTACAGTTTGGAAATTGTTTCTTCTTCTTTCTGCGTACTTTATTGGTAAGGTTATTAATTTTAAGATGTAAATAGTGTTTAAGTTTTTAATAGTAATAAATTATAAATATAAATAAGTATAATTATAAATTTAAGAGAAAAATCTGTAATTGAAAATCTTTAAAATTTTATTTGTACTAAAAACCGGGAAAATCTAAGGAAAATATATTTCATTTGTTTTATACAAATTTTCCTCCTAATAATAGGTACTAACTCCTTTACATAACTATATTTCATTATACTGGTTTACTATTTACATGTTATGCCTAATTTAGATGAAATTAGAATAATGAAAAGTTAAATAAAAAAATATTAGAAAGCTAATAAAATATATAAGATATTAATAAGAAATAATAATTTAATCAGCCGTTAATATCTGTATTCCACTGCTATATATGTATTTTAAAAAAAAGTTAAACTAGTTAGTAGTTAATAATTATTGTTTGTATATATATGTAATGTATTATTTATTAGTACTTAATTTCTCTAAATTCTTTCCTGTATATGTTCACTGATACCTATTTCATTTACATTAGTGTATGTATGAAAAATTTATTCAAATTAATTTTATTTCCTAACTTTTTTGTAAATACTCTCTTACCAAAGGTCGTCTGGAAGAAATTGCATTAGCGATAAGACCGACTTTTGTACTTGTATAGTTAATAAAACCTATTATTTAATATTAAATTTTATTAATGTTAGTGTAATAAAGTATATAAATATATAAATAAATTTTAAGAGGTTAAAGTAATATATTCTTTACTAAACTATTGCTGTTATTTCTTTACTACTAGTCAAATATTTAATTCGAATTTAAAATTTTAATATTAATAATTATCAAATATGTTGAATATATTGGTTTCTTTTTTACCTACGTACAAAACATGTTTATGAAGTTACAAAGGTACTGCGTTATCATCTTTATACCATACGCTCATAAAGTCGTTATTCAAATTTTTTTATCTGATGTTATTATTTTAATATCGTACTTTATGGTCGGAACGACTCAACGGGGATGCATTATTTTTAACAACAACCCAGGTTTCATCAGTGGTATATATATTATTCTTCAATTTGTGTAAGTTATAGTTGTATAGTTCAAGTTTTTAATGGAAGCAGAAAAATTAAGTTTTTTGCTTTTGCCTTTATCATCAATTTTTGTGAATTGTTTCATAAGTTTAATAATAAGCTGTATTATTTAGGTTAACTATAGTAGGTACTTATTATGTGGTATATATATGTAGTACCTTTAGAGTAGCAAGTCGATTTTCCAATTTCTTCTCTTGTGCCGTCATAATCACGAATAGTTTCTTAAAAAGATCAGGAACAGTTTTACAGAATTTGTATATTTATCATGAATATACATATATACTGTTTTTTTAATACGATGTTGGTCCTTTTACTATATATATATATATATATATATATATATACCTACATTGCCTTTCAACCATTATAGCAGCTGTATAAATAAATAAATGTATACTTAAAAAAATAACCAATCTCAATCAAAGTGCACCCAATCACAGTATAAAAGTGTATACAGTCTATTGAACCTGACTCCTTTATAGAAATTATTGGAAAAAATACATCAACTATAGAACTACATTAGTATACTTACTTATGTAAATTACTCAGACACTCAGTGGAAAGGTCCGGTAAACAAACAAAAAAATGTTATTCCGAGGAAAATATAGTGCAAACGAAAACGGAATTCGGTTATATCTGAGAGTATCAAAAACGGAAAAGGGTTCCACTATAAAGTGTAACGGTTATGGTGGACATTTTTTCAAGCGTTAGACGAAACCAGCGCAAGTGATTCGCATAGTTGAGATGTGGTTGGGACCATAAGCTAATAGCGGGCGAAATAATAATCATTATTCATGCGTGAAGCAAAAGTTTGTACCCCTTTTTATGAAAATTGCGCGGATAGAGCAGTATGAAATTTTGTACAATGATAGTTTATATAGAGAAGGAGATTACTAAGATAGCAAATAATTTAAAAATTTAAAAAATACGGTAAATAATAAAAAGTCGTACCTACCAGGTATTTGACATGTGCGTTTTTGACAATAAAACCTAAAATAATGCTTATACATATAACTACAATTTATGGTCAAATTTCCAACTGGCAACCACTAATTAAGATAAAACCGCTTGTTAATACATTTCCTAACATACTAAAAAATTACATTACGTATCGCATGTTATTTTTTTTACGGTAGAACATGGAATGACGTGTCGGCTACGCTTATGCAGGGTATCAGTGTAGGAGGATAGGATGAGTATGCAGTCAGATCATTAATTGTGGTGAAATGACCGGGACTTGACCACAATATTCTCCACGAATGGAGGTCAGCCTTGTTACTTAAACATTACTAGCAACTTCGCTATTATTCTGCATTACGAACAACAGTCTATGCTAAATTTACTAACAAAAATAAATGTGTTATAAAATTAAGTTTAAATTTAGGTAAAAATAGCACAGAATTTGATAAACCCGGAAGCTATTGAAGAACAGTTGAAAATTACTTTATTGTTCTTTTATTAACATTATGTTTTCTGATTAATAAATTCCTTTTTCCTATAGATTTATTTTATACAAAAATTTTAAGGAAAAATCTATTCTTTTGTTGCTCCATTTAACATGATCCCTTTGAATACGTATACTAATTAATGTCTTGAAAAAAAAGGGAAATATTCCGGCATGTACCCATAATGTTAATTTGAAAGATTTCCTCAATTAAATTCCGCGATAAAATAGCAATTATTATTTAACAACATTTTCCATTTTAGCATTTTTGTTCTAAAATAATATATTTTACTTTACTACAAATTTAATCGACATAAATAATTAGAAAGTACGATTTTTTAAGAAACTGAAATTGGAAACAATCTGACGGTTGACCTAAAGGATAGTACATGAACTGCTGTTCATGTACTATCCACGTATAACACGTCATCGTGTAGAGCTTGTGCTATTATAGTATTTATGAGTAGGCATTTCCAAACACTAAAGAATGGATTATAATGAAACTTTACAGTAATACGGCTTATGCATAAGAATAACACGTAGGCTATAAATTTCATGCGGGTGAAACCGCGAGCAGAGCTAGTATCGCATTATATGCGCACATTCACTTATTTTCACGTGTAGTAACAATGTAAACCGTAATACACCCCTAATTTAATTCCGTCACTCGTCGCTAATCGCTGTAACTCCAACAGCAACCATACTCCCCGTGGTACAATTTCCCGAAAAATGACGGAGCAATTGTCGTTGACACACGCATATAAGGCGGTCATGTTTGTAACTAGGTCGTAGTGGGAGCTATATATACTATAATGCTGTGGCTTTATATACACAAAGTACAAAATTTAGTACGACAATTTTTATATCTTACTAATATTAAAAACGCGAATGTTTGTGAGTATGGATGGATACATTTTTGTTACTCTTGAACGGATTTTGATGTTACTTTACTGTAATATATATCTTATACATCAGAATAATACATAGACTATGATTTATATAAATATTATGTAAATTGGACAAAATGTAATGACCATTTACCATCAGATGGGCCGTATGCTTGTTTGCCACCATAGTAGCATAAAAAAATGAGTGATGCAGACGAAGTTGCGCGGGTCAACTAGTATGAAAAATTTAAGAAACTAATGTATTCATGGATAAACAATATGAAACAGATTGAATAAATATATTATTTGAATAAAGTGAATTAACATATTCATTACATTAAAGTAATAATTATTAATCTCATAAATGGAATTATTGTATTCATGTAGTTCAGAGTATTAAAGTCATATTGAATGAAACACGTAATGAATAATGAATAATAATTTATATATAAATTATATATAATAATTTATATATATTATAGAATTCTCTATATCGAAAATAATATTATAATATTAAAATTAGAGATATAGTGTAAGAAGAAAGATTATAGTTGAAAACTCTACAAATAGTTGACGGCTTGGTGGTCTAAACCACTAGGTTTAGCACACCGCTTTAGACCACTTCGCACGACATAAACTATTGTATTCATGAGTATGATTGCAAGCAAAAACACACCCAGCCGATACTTGTATCGATCTGGGTGTTTTCTATCTATAATATGTATATATTTATAAAAAAAAATCTGTGTACTTGTATCAGTAATTCATACCCATAACACAAGCTACTTACTACTAGCTGGCTTAACTTGATTCAAATTGTTGAATTATCAAAAAAAAATATTTCAGAATCCTTTATTCTTTTACTTTGCATTACGATTTCTCGAGAAGATCTCGAAAACAGTGTTCTTATTTCAAAAGAATAAACTTACCCCAAAAATATATAAAGTGTTTGTAAAGACTGACGTCTCACAACTACGTACATAGATGTTAAGCAAACTCTTCAATGGACCGGCTGAGATGTAACCTAGATAGGCTTTTCATAAACCTTTTGAGATGTTGCATGCAATCTTAGCATTGTGTTCTAAAACATGCACTTTCTACTTACGAGTACTGATTTATATTTCGTTTTATTACCATTGTGTTTGTATAGTACATTGCATAATAGCTGATCCTGTGACTTTATATCGGTATATTTCTACTTGTAAATCGATAGGAATAAATAAGACAAATACTTTACTCTTAAAATAGATGTTAAGAATTATTACATACTATAAAACAAAGTCGCTGTCGCTGTCTGTCTGTCCCTATGTATGCTTAAACCTTTCAAAGTACGTAACGAATTTTGAAGTGTTTTTTTTTAAATAGATAGAGTTATTAAAAAGGAAGGTTTATATATATAATACATGAACATCCGTGCAAAGTCGAGGCGAGTAGCTAGTTGAGAATAAAAGAAAAAAAAATTATTAATGTTAAAATATAATTTAAGCTTACCATATTAGTGAAATAAACATCCGAATTACTCAAATCATTCTGAGATTAGGCACAGGGGCACATACCCTTTCCGATTATTTCTTTATTAATAAATATACATAAAACTACGGTATAGCTATCACCCATCTACTCAATAATAGATATTAGTACAGTCTAATGACGAAGATTTTAGCAAACAGTTCAAATTTATTAAATATGAATCCATAATTTTGGACAGACAAAGCTAATTTAGGCCTTCGTTTACGCATGAACAAGCCTAAATCAACTGTGGATGTTTCGATCAAAGCACAATATAACAATATACATAGGAAATTTGATTTCCCTGAGGCAATTTTGTGAATCAGAGCAGTAAATAGACTAATTTGTCGACAAATCTATTCAGCCTAGGAATTAATCAGTAGATTTAATTATAATAAATAATTACACGTTAGTTCAGACTACATAATTGTATTGTTAGGTTGACCTACATGGCTAACCAAATGCTACTTAACTTATTGATCTGTAAGACAACGCCTCATTGTTATAGGGATTTTCTCAGTGTTCTTTTTCTTTATTTCTATACATAGAATAAAATTGTAACAAACGAAAAAATTTTCACAAAAAAATTTTGTGTTTTAAGATTTCACGTAAAAAAAGACTACAGATTAAGATGATATTTTTACAGATTATATTGTTAAATGTAATAATTAATTTATTTATATATTTTATACCTAGCTCAAAACGTTTGTATTCCTGGGTATGATTGTTCGTATCAGTCTGGGTATATTCTATGTACATTATGTATATGTTAAAAAAAAATCTAAGTAGGTATTTATATCAGTTGTATAGTACATAACACTTGATTTACTTAGCTTGGGACTAGATGCCACTCCAGGGTGGTCAAAATTATTATTATTAATTTATATTATATAGGCTAAGGACAGTGAAATAATTATTTTGACAGTATTTTTCTACAAGTTAGTTCTGATTTTTTTAATGAATTTATTAATAGAATAACAGGTTATGCCTATAAATGTACAAGCACTCTGGACATAGCTAGTCTATACATATAAATAAAATTGGTGTCTGTTTGTAGTATTGAAATAAGCATTTTATACTCCATGCACATGAATATAAATACATACAACAAAATAACATTTTTTACAATTTCTGTCTGTCTGTTTATTTTGGCCAATTTCTGAAATGGCTGGACCGATTTTGATGGGACTTTTGTTGCCAAGTAGCTGATGTAATAAGGAGTAATTTGGGCTACTTTTTTTTACTTACTTTTAAAAAATATAAAGATAAATTCCACGCGGACAAAGTCGCGGGTACCGCTAGTTATAAATAAATTTGCATAATAAGGAACCAAGTATTTTAGTCGTATATACCGTATATATTTTTACTTGAGTTATATTCTTTTATGTGGCATGACATTTTACTACTCCGTACTCTGATACGACTCGTACTACAGTCAAAGACTGACGTAATATCCAAGGTGCTGTTCATGTATATAGACGACTTACCACTTACCGTCTCGGTGACATATCGATATATTGCCTGTCCATTTATATAAAAAAGCAATAAAACAATAATCAGTCTAAGCATATCTTCTAATAAGGATTACGAGCAAAAGGTGTAAAAGTATATTTATTAGCTGTAGACTCTCCACCTTATATTTTTTTTAACCATTAAATAATATAATACGTCTGAGAAAAGTTGGTATCGCCTCCTCAACGAGAGTACGTCGTCGTTAAAACTTGAGCAATTACAGTAAGTTACAGCGCATGTCATACATAGACGCTCAAGTTTTATATTTGCTTTACAACTTGGCAGGGATGATAATTAAACTCGTCTGCATACTGCGAACTTTGTAATGAGATTTGGTTATTGTTCGCTCTTGTGCTAAGTATGTTTGTTTTCTAATCACGTAATTTTTTTTATTTTTAAATTTCGACCATATGAAGGGATATCTCGTAATAAAACACTCTTTCCAAAGGTTGTCTGTAAGAGATTGCATTAGCGATAACACCGCCTTTTGTACTTAGTTTTATTTTTTTTATGTTTTTAATTTTGTTCATGTCCTTTATATGTTGGTGCAATAAAGTGTTATAATAATAATAATATGGTCATACTACCTGACCCACGCAACTTTGTCTACATCATACTTACTTGATATTTATTTCGCACAATTTACACAATATCTTTTCAAATTATAGCTTATGTGTTATTCTGATGTATTCAGTATTTTTGCAAAAAGAGTAACAAACATCCATCAATACTCACAAACTTTCGCGTTTATAATATTAGTAAAATTATAAAAAGTATATCCTGAAGTGTAAGAATCTATAATATATTGATTGCGTTTATAATATTCAGTAAAATTCAAATGGCAAAGATATACGATCCACCTGATTATATGTCGTATATATATCTATAATATATTGTGATGCACGGGATATCATTCATGCATTTCATACACTTCGATGTCAGACCCATCATCCTGTAATTTCACTGCCTTATATCACCCTTCAACCAAAACACATCTTACAAAGCTAGCTGCTTAGATGCTGAAATAGGTGCCATTGAGTGCCCACGTAAATGATTTGTTGCAAAGTTTGCAGATGATTGTAATACATATTACACTTTTTATCATATGTTTAAAAAATGTATGTATTTAGAGTATACATTGATATGTATTACACCGCTCAGCTGTCATCATTAATGGTTACTAGATCAAAATTTGTAATGGTAGACATTATTTTCTTCTGATTTCCATTTAACTAAGATTCGCCTTCTAGATTGGAAAATTAAGTTTATAATTTTCTGTAATCAATAAAATATTATTTAAAAATCTCATACCTAGTCTGTTCTTTTGGTATAATTACGAGTAAATTAATTACATCTATCCTATTTCTCCTAAACTTTTCATTGCATTACTAGAATATATATTTAAACAACTATATATAGTTAAAATTGACGGAGTACAATCATTTGCGTTTTGCCGATGATATTGTATTAATTTCTGTGATGCTCACGACGCTAGAGAAAGAAAGCCAGAAATGTGGTTTGAAAATGAACTTTTCAAAGACGTTTGCAATGACAAATAGCGAAAAAATTCCTATAAGTATTGAGACACAAAGTATTGAGTATGTCGATGAATATACATACCTTTAACATGTCTTTTGCAACACCGCTCAACACAAACACAATGCAGAATAAAAAAGCTTGGTGTAAATACTGGTCCTTGAAAGAAATTTTTAAATCAACTTTACCTATTAGGCTAAAAAAGAAAGCAATGGACACAGTAATTCTCCCGACATTGTTGTATGATGTCAAAGTTGCAAACAAAAGATATCATAAATAAGATTCAAGTGTTTCAACGAGCTGCAGAGAGAAGCATGATAGGACTGAAACTTATAGATAGAAAAAGAAATAAAGATATACGAAAAATTAAAAATCATTGATGTATTTAGATTGAAATGGAGGTGGGCACACTTGGCAAGGACAACGGATGGGAGATGGAGCATTAAATGTTATATTGGTACCCACGAAACACAACAAGACCACGCGGAAAATTTGTAGCGATGACATTATTTTCTTCTGATTTAAAGACCAAGTGGAAAAGGTTGGAACCTTAAATGGATACCTAAATAAAAAAAATATAATATAAAAGAAATGAAATGTTTATTGTTATTGCATTAATAATAATATATTGAATGTAATCAAATAATATAATAAAAAATTAATATAATAAATAAATAACAAATAGAATATGTAAAAAGATCAATAACATGATATGTTTATAAATAGTTATAATTGTAATATTCTTGTCATTTTAGTAAATTTTTATTATTATTATTATAAGTTATTTATTATCAATTACGTAAATTGAATGGCACCAAAATTTTAGGAACAAACTTCATAAGAAACTAATTTACTCGCAAGTAAGCCATCGAAATCTATTAAATTTATTTCCTTACGTAATTCCATTTACAAGTATTTCTTAATTGTTTCAGTGGCCGTATTTTCCTCCGGATACTTAAGAGAATACGGAGCTGTCGAACTCGATAAGAGGTAAGATACTTTTAATTAATTCTCCCCTTAACCTCTCAGTTCGTGACTTACATACTTGAATAATCTTTCCGTGCCCTTTATTTTTGACCTTACTTAACTTTATCCATACCCTTTCTGACTTTCGTCCTAATGGGAATATCTTTGATTGGTTAAGTTGAGTGGTTTGACTTGATACTTACGTCGATTTATGGCGAAAATTGGATTTTGTGAAGATATCCACTGCTAAATCTCGCATTTCCGTTTGAATTTCAACCTGTCATCATAAAACCTGATTATTATATAACCGTTTTAAGAATATACATACTAGAAAGTATGTATGTTATATGAACTAAAATGTATCTGTATATTTAATTTCATTTAAATTAGTATACGTGAACCAATTTAAATGAATTCAAATTTATATTCATTCATATATTAGAGACTTGTAAGATATCTTGCTATGTACAATTGTATATTATATTTATTGTAGATCTTTATACTATGGTTTATGTGTTTATCTTCTACTTCTAATGAATCTTATCAACCATAATTGCTACATTTGCAGTATATTATATTTCCCACAGTCCATGAGCGGTAGTATCAAAAAACTTGACTACTATTCAAAAGTGCTTATATTAGGTTTATTTGAATAAAGATTATTTCTATTTCTATTCCATGCATTTAATTACATACACACATACAAGTTTCATTCAGTACATTCTTTTAAACCGTTCTCTCTACTTTACATAGTTTTTCTTAATATAACTAGAATGGTAAATAATGATAAACGTCAACTAGACATATGAAAAGCCAAAAGCCACCAAAACAGAGTAACAGGTCATCATATGACATTCATACATTGGACAAATGTCTCTAAAAATGTATCCTAACAGAACAACCTTCATAAGGTCTCCCATAGGAATCAATGTAATTAATTCCTAGTGAAGCCATGATTAGCTAAGCGACCTGACTTCATACTTACTCTACCATCCTCCACTGTTGCTCCACCAACATATACCGTTAGCGCAGACGTGTACACCACATTATTATCAGGGTATTAAAAAAAACATTCATACGTTACTATTCCAGAGAATTAAGATGACATATATCCCTCATTCATTCATTCATAAACTAAAGAGCAACGCTATTGTCTGTGGAGCTTTTGCCACTTTCTACGATCTTCCATTATATTCTTTAAGTCTTGATACGACACGACTCCAATTCTGTCTTTAATTTGTTTGATGTAACTGTACCTTAGTCTTCCTCTCCCCCTCTTTCCTTCTAACTTTTCCTCAATAATTAGTTTCAAAAATTCATCGTGCCGTATCAAGTACCCCAACATTTTTCCTCTTCTACTTACAGCATTAAATATCTGCCTTCTTTCTTTCATCCTGCGCAATACTTCTTCATTTCTTACCAGCGAATTCTTTCCATCGTTCTCCAGCACCACATTTCAAAAGCTTCCAGTTTATCCCTACATTATACATCCCTACGCTGTAATTTATATTATGGTAATTGAATTTTTGAAATTCTTATCTATTAACTAATTATGCCCTTATGAAATACGGCACATCCAGTCTACGAAGGCTTGTGTAATAACAAATTCTCTAATTCAGACAAATAATTCTATCAACTTGACTAAACTATTCCTTTGTGAGAATAGTTACAGCGAAGTATGTTCGTATAACTTGGCTCAACTTGGCCACAAACAATACCTGACTTTTCAAATTAGAATATAACATGGCTGCACTTATATATATAGATATAGACATAAATAGACTTTCATCACGGTTCTGAAATCCTACCTACGTTAGCTGAAGTTCTATAAAGTAGGTTTAACTATATCAGTATATTTTGATACTTTCCTTAAATTTAATAAAATAGCTGTAAGTATACTTATTTGGTTGAAGAGTGTGTAAATAAAATAATAATAATTGTGAATAATTAGAGCCTGTGTTTTGAGTTCTAAGCAACTAATACAAACACTTAAATATATCTTTTTGTAAATGTATGTGTGTATGCATAGAAAATACACAAACGAATACAAACAATGATAATCATGAAAACAATGCATTGTGCGAAGAATTGAACCTTCGACCACTGGAAGTAAAGCAAAGTGCTAAACCATTAAACCACCGAGGGTGAGAAACAGCAGAGAAATTACTGGGTACGAAAGCATGTTACCTTAATTCTCAGGAATGGCAATGTGTTAGTCAAGAGCGACATATTAAGGTTTAATATCCGTGGTAGACGACTGTTACCAACTTACCACCAGATAGTGTATAATACCAGTTAAAAATAAAATACAAATAGATTTAACTAACAAAATAAATCAGTTACAGTAACAAAAACAAAGTAATCCCTACAAGTTATGCATAAGTCCATTATTGTTCTATGAAAGTTGTGAAAAAATAGGTATAAAGAATTTATAAATGAATTTCCAGAGACACAACGTTTGTAAGAAGATAGAAAAGTTTATATGAATAGCTCTCGGGGGAATGTTTCCAAGTCTTACCATTACCATATGTTCGTGAAATACATGTGGTTTGTATTCGAAATAAAAGGGTCGAATAAAATGTAGTTGTAACCAGTTTGTAGTTATTGTGGCTTTTTAGCGATCCACTGTAACGATTTTAACAATACTTATTTGATTAATAACTATTATTGTACAATTCTATATAAACTCTAAATTGTAAATGGCAGCCTATAAATATGTGCTGTCTGTACTGCTATGTCAGTAAAGCGTAATAAAAAAAGTAAAAGTTCAAATTAAAATAGAATACAAAAACATTGCATTTTTTTTTAATAAAAATCTACCAACCTTTCTTCCAATCCTAGTACAGTTTTAAACAATAATAAAGAGGTAAAATTTGTATATTTGTTCGGCGTAGTCTCAGGTTTTGCTAATCCGATTAAAAAAAAAAGGTATAGTGTTAAAAATTGGAAAGGTATAGTGTTACTGTCACAAAGCTATATCATCCACGAGTGCTGTAGGCTATGTAATATCACGCTACTTTAGTCTCACCTATTTCAGCAGCCAAGCAGCCATCAAATCAAATCAAATCAAAATATTTTTATTCATGTACGTCTATTACAGACTCTTATACTTTCGAGATGATAATAAGTGGCAAGAAACTAAGGTCGTATTATTTTCAAATATGGTTTACAATAATACAGATACATTTTAAAATTAAAATTTAGTAGTGACCAGCTTATGCTATTGCAATTTTGTAAAAAGAAAATAATCTAATCAATGTTCGTATTCCGAAGAGACCAGTCTCCACAAGCAGCACCCGTTCACGAGTATGACGGACGGACGAAGTAGGACTTTGTAATCGGAGTTTCGTTTTCATTGTAGGATGCGATTAGGCATTGAAATTACAGGATAAGACGTCACGTTCACTGAAATGGCAATGCTTGAGTGATATCACGGATGTTATTGATGTATATAATATTATTGATGTATATAGATCACAGTTACCGCTTACCGTCAGCTTGTTTACCATTCCCAGCATATAAAAGATACTTTTTCAAACTCATAGAGTTGAATATCGTGTGATATTATCACATATCGACTGTCATATTAATGTCCGGAACTGTGCCGTGCTATATTAATGCAATGAATGATGAATCTCAAACCCGTCATTCCAATGATACTGGCCTAGATATCTGAAAAAATCGTTACCAAAATAGTATGAATAAAAATAGAAACTATAAATATACAGCTGATACTTATATAATTTCTGTCTTATTGGTACTAGATAACTGATATAAATACAGATTTTTTGAAATACATATAATATACAAAGAAAACATCCAAACCTAAACAAACAATCATACTACAGAATACAAATGTTTGCACCGTACGAGGCATCGAACCTGCGATCGTCGAAATCTCAGACGGTATGCTAATCCGCTAGACCACCGAGCCCGTCAATCTACATACAACCTATGAACATGTGTAGGTACATATATGCTTATTTCTAGTGTAGTGAGTGAGCTAGACCATAAATCACTCTAGTACGTTACACTTTGTGTATATAGCTCTGACATAGGTAGAGGTAGACAACTCAAATACCTCAATTTATATGAAAATGAAGCTTGTCACTATTGAACCACTCGCTTTGATGTTACAAAAGCTATTCATTGATATCAAACTCTCTCCTGCACTAAAATATTATATGTGATATTATTTTTAATATTTATCTAAATTTTTATATAGGCATTCAGAACCAAAATTTGTAAGACCGTATTAGACGATAAATTTTATATTATTTTAGTTTAAAGAAAATATCACTTTACAGTGGTCATAATTATTTTTATTAAATTCCCCACGTAGACTAAAACAGTATGTGACGATTCCCGCACTCCAATAATTATTAAGATTAAAAAAATTTAATAAGTTCTAAATTTGAAATTTTGAGGATCTTGTTTAAAGAAATTTGACAAAAAGCAACCATTCTTCATTGAAGTACAAGCGTCGTACCATAAATTTTATCTCACATTATTCTTATAGTAGTAGCCATCAAACGCTCGCGAGTTATATCGTGTTATTATTATTTTCCCGTGAGATTTATTGCGGTTGCAAAACAAGGTACACGTACGTACAGTGAGTTACAAAACTCAATGAACATTGAACTTTATTGCTTCATAATAACGACTAAAATCGAAATACAAGTATATTCAGGCAATTTTGTTGTTTCATGAAATACTTAGAAGGCCTAATTCATACCGAAACTTTTTTTCGCTTAAAAAAGGCGACTGAGGAAATAAAATTTAATTTACACGAATGAAAGTAAGAATCGTATATTTCAGCCTCCAAGCAGCTTACTTTCTAAGCTGTCTCCTGATGATAGGGTGAGTTTAGGCAGTGAATGATGGAATAATGAGTGGAATCACGGTTGTCACAAGATGACATGTCAATTGTTGTCAATTTATGTCTATTCACGTATATAGGCGACAGATATGGCCGACTGTAAAAAAAATACCTAAAAATAGACTGACTTCACCCACATTCATTATATCAGCTTTCATTTGTATCTCAGTAGCATATCCATATAACTAATAAAGAAAATGTACTAGAGATAAGGGCTACTGATAATTCTATCTATATCTATAAAATATACATGCCAAATTTAAAAACGAAGAAATAAAAATATCAACTAGAGAGAAATATCAACAATTTTATTTATATCTATAAAATATATGTACATTCCAAATTTGAACTGAAACACGCATTTGGTTTACAGAGAGTAAAATAATTTACTCAACGTTCCGTTTACAAATTTTCAAACGGAATAATTTACAGTCTAGTTTTTGTACAAAGTTTTGCAACTGTTATAGGAACGGTATATTTTACCGTAGTCTTAATTGAATACTAGCCTTTTCTTGTAACTTCCTCTACTTTTTTTGAATAAATAAATGTATATATATTTAGACACTTTCGCATTTATTAATTAGTATGGATGACGAATACTAGACTAAAGTAATACAATTTGTCTCTTGTTTGGAGATTTGCTATTATGACTACTAAGGTATAAAATTGAAAAGAAATTGTAACTTATGTAAGTCCAAATTACTCACTTCACGTAATTTAATGAATACTTTTATATACACAAAATAGAATTATGACTCTTTTTTTTAATAGAAGCGAGAAACTTTTGTACAGGCGAAGAGCACAGCCCATACTGCTTAATCAACCACTGCCATTTCTGTGGAAACAATATTTACTCTATTCATCAATATCATAACTTCTTCACAGACCACTTGTTCTATATTTAAACAGGATGCAAAACCAATTCTCTATCCATCACTATATAAGACAACCTTTCAAATAACTTAACGGATATTCAGTGAGCCGTGAACGCTTATTTCTTCTGATTACACATCGAAGGGTCTTTGAAGTGACGGCTGAGACCCAGCAATCACTGTAAGTGTATTTTTTATTATGGAAATGGCGCTTTATTTAGTGGCGTCGACATGCTCCGATGGTTTTGTAAGAGAAAAATGGGGTACGAGTATAAGTGGATATGTAAATAAGATTTCGTTGCGTAAAAAATATCCAGAAAATTGTATTGGACCAATATGGGAGAAAATTGATGATGGAATTAATTAGTAGGTAGGTGTAAAAATATGGACAACGTACACTAAGAATAGTCTTTTTTGTTTGTATATTATATTCCAATAGTATGGTACAAACTATACTATTGAAATAACAGTATAATATAAAACCTTTTATTAAAGTCGACTACAAACAAGGAAATATATACATACAAATACATATATAACTAAGCTAGTGATTTCGTGGTATTGGAAATAACAATTGGCTAACTTCACTTTTATATTTGTGAGTCGATTGGAATGAAACAAACATTACAGTAAGCTTAAGCTTTTAAGCTTGTTACAATACACATACATCAGCGGAAACCGCATTCTGAGATTCGAGTACACAAACACACAACAAGCTTTGTGATTTTTATATATAAAAACAATCGCCTATCTCGTTCGGGAATGATGTACTTGTAATAACTAAAACAATTCAGTAAAGCTGTTTTTACATCTGATATAGTTGCTAGTTAGTAGTTTATAATGTAAATGAAAGTGTCATAATTTTCTAGGATATATTTCAATAGATAATATACTAGATGACCCCGCAAACGTTGTTTTGCCATTTAAATTAAAATCACTCAATAAAAAGAAAAAAAAATAAAAGGTAGAAGTGTGAAAGTTTAGGGTTGTATGTATTTTTTAATGCCACTTTATAAAAAACTAATAACAATGTTTTCCAAAAAAAATTAAGGGTTGACAAACATTATAACGTTGTGAGACCATCATTTTTTACATAAAATTAATAAGAAACTTCCTTGTGCAATAATTGTATACCGATATACCTAAGAAGACCTTGGTATTATCAGCTATAACACATCGTTTATGTAATTAATAGAGATCAACAGTCTCTCTTTTTGTCTTGTCAGTTCCGTGGATTAATAATCGACTAGTAACTCTTTTCCTTTTACTTCAATTAAGATTATCATGTCGGATCGATCGGTATTACGATGATTATTAAATTTTATTTCATATTTCTTGAACTAAGTTTTAAATAATATGTCAGATCGTTTTTCACGCGGTCCTCCCTGAAAATGTAATGGTTAAATCCTAATTAATTCCACACGATGGCGTCATTTGACTGACCTAAGCACGAAGCTCATTCTATCCTCCTCCATTAGTACCTCGTATACCATTAGGACTGTATGGTGCATCATTCCATTTGAAAGACAATATATACGATCATATAACCTATAGTATACTTCCTAAGGCCTATATATATTATATAAGGCCTAACTTCTGGCCAATTAACCAAATACGGTCATGGAATAAATTTATTTAGCAATTGAAAACTAGTAAATAATAAATGAATTACAAGCGTTGCTACTGTTTGCGTATAAATTTTTAAATACACTTCAAGGTAATCAAGTAATCGATATATTTAAATTTAACTTGCAACTGACCGTGTGCGAAAGGGTTAAAAATAACACCAGGGGGCGTTGTTATCGTTAATTAAATATCCAATAATATTAGCTTTTCTAAAAGAAACTTCATTACTGTAACAGATTCAGTTTACAAGTCATTAAAAATAATTGGTTTTTGTATATTCTGGCATCAGTGGCTAATATAAAATTAGTATGTTGACTTTAGACTGTCGCTGATCGGAATAAATATATATAATGTTTATTGATTAATATTGTTTATTGTGTGGAGTTGATTGAGTTATTATTATATTTTTTTATACTACGATGGTGGCAAATAAGCATACTGCCCATCTGATGGTAAATGATTACCGTAGCCCATGGACACCTGAGACATCAGGAGAGTCACATGCTCGTTGCCGACCCTTAAGGTGTGTGGTAGAAGAATAGAATAGAATATAAATTAATTTATTTAAAGAAACTTACATTCAAGCAATTTTGAATAAACATCACTTATTTTTTTTATCTAACGATCATGCAGAAAGCTGTCTCATCAAAATAAAACCGAGAACAACTTGCGTGTTGCCCTTTTAAATAATTTAGTACTACCTTATATTTTTAAGTTGATATATGCTATCTATCAATGCTCTATTTGATATGGCGGACCTAACTTCTTGCGGCGTTATTTACCAGTCAACCATGAATAGCGCAGAGAAAGATTGTTGGCGGTGCACTAATATTAATGAGACATATTATAAAAATATATAAGGCAAAATGTATATATAAATGTCTAAAAAATAATACATACAAATATATAATTTGTTTCTTTTTCTCTGATTCATATGAATCAGAGACAGATATAATCACGCAACTACGACTACTCTACAATGTCTATCTGCCTTACATTACATTACATAGCTCTTCGTAATAAGAAGGTACGAATACCTATTTTAAAACTGCATTTTTTTATTCTACTGCATCAAAAGTTTCCGTCGAGAAAAACTGCGAAGAAACTCGACTGTTGCTCTTTTCTAATAAAAATAAAACTTCGCCAAGTTAAAGAATGTTTTGCAAATACCAAATAGCAAGATACAGATATATACAAATACTATTATAGTCAACTAACAAAATAACGCTTAAATAACTGGCAATTTATATACAAAACAAAAAACAGCAAGCACTTTTAAATTTTAGTTTCAATATTTGACTACCTCTTCAATGGTATAAAATAACATAATAAACCTATTTTATTTTAAGCTCAAATAAGAGAGAGGAAGAGAATTGTTATTATGGTAATTTTAAATATGAGTCTTTGGAAACCATGTGGTGTTTCTGGATACCATAGTTGATAATTCCTGGTGAATTCCAGTATTGGCCAACCAACCTGACTTTATGCGCATCCTATGATCGTCCGCTGATGCCCTGCCAGCGTATACCATTAGCGCAGCAGGGTGCAACCTTTTAATGATCCATCCTATAAAAAAGTCTACAAACAGTAGTCTACATAACAGATAATAATAAAATAATAACCGGCTGTGTTCCACGTGAGCCTCGCCACGGAATGCAACTAGTAAAATATATATTTCCCCAATTTTTAGATACAGGAAGCTTTCAAAATATGAATGTCCTTGTACTAAAGTTTTTTTTAATTAATTATTCCAAGTTTATTGCCTACCTAAAGTAATAAAAGAAAACAGATTAAATCTCGCTTGAAATTAATGTTATTGTTATCTTTTGTTTGCAGGTCCATTTCCGTTTTAAGAGGGGTTCCGTATAATATGTTTAACTTTTGGTCGACTGAGAGATCAAATGGTAAGTTTTTATTACCTTTCTTATCTAAAATATATAAATTTTCTTCTCTTATTTGCCGGTTTACTCTATAAACCAAATCCGATACAATGACATTGAATTGTGCTTTTTATACTCTTGAAATATATATTAGAAACATATTTGGAGATCAAAGTTAGTTACTACTAACAATTATTACAGATTTATTTAGTATTGAAAAAAAATTGTTGTTATAAATGTTTTCCTCAGTAAAAAGAAAAACTACAGTAGTTTTAATTGAACTGTTCGATCACATTAAAACTTTATTTCAGAGTCACAAATACAGAGGTATCGTTACAGAAGAAACTTGCAAATGGTTATATCCCAGCATTTCACTGAGTCCAATATTATGCCTGGTGTTGATGTAAGTCCTATGTTATTTTATGTTAGACTGACCGTATCACACGACTTTACCTGCAGGGGAAACTCAGCATCAGTTATGTACATATATTTTAACCTATGTTCTAAATTATGACTTTCAAGACTTCAAGCTGTGCATTGTTAGTCAATCGAGACAAATGATAATGAAGCTATGATATGATACCTATATCTGACATCAAGGATGAGATACAAGTTTACGACTCGACTGATGGTAAATAAAAACTGTGGCTTTTTAAGGCATGTAATGCCAGAGACACATGCTTTGATGTCTTTTGTAATTTAAAAATCTTCATCCAAGGTACCTGATTAATCTTGACCCAATCGTGATAAAATAATACAAAAACATCACGCTTATGCAAAAATAATCATCCTATTTTAACGTTTACTTTTTACAAAAGTTAAATTTAGAATTACATTTATAAAATGGAACAATGATGTCGAACAAAATAAAAGATAATATCTCAAATATATCTTTGAATGAACAATAATAAAATCCATAATAATTATATAACCGTAATCAAATCTAACAAAAGCCATATGCTCATAACTCAAGCCGCAATGCTCATAGTATTCGTCAACCAATTCTGACCAAAACCATTTAAATCCAACATTGAGTTTTACTGCCATCATTATACGGTCTCGTTTCATGAATCTCAAATGTAATTATATAAGGAAGGAATCGTTAGAGACCACGATATATTATTTCCTTTATGGCTTTAGAAATAAAGTGTATTTTGGTGTAGGTGAGCCTACATTGTACAGTGAATGGACCACATCCAGCGCGATTCATTTGGGAGAGGGACGGACTTGTTATCTCTTCTAACACCGATTCGAGGTAAAATTACCAATGATTTTATGCATAGTGTTTTACCCTTGTAATATGAATCAATTTAAAGTAATACTGTTGTATTGTATGTACATTTCATTACAGCTAAACACAATTTGGGTTTGACAATAACGAGAGTCATTGAATTAGTCGCGGCTAAATGTGATGTGATTTCCGTAGCCTCGACAGCTTCAGTTAGGAGAAATATCATCATGATGATAATGGGTCGATATAATTATAATTGTACTGGGTTCTTACATAATATCATATTGTCAGAGGAATAAATAACATTTGTAAACCCCACTCCATTTCATACTGAATATGAAATAAAAATAGAAGAAATATACAATCATAGCAAGAGATGAAAAATTCTAAATAAAATCTTTTACATAGAAATATAATCTGAGTAAATAAGATTTAGTGTTATTTTCAATTATACTTACAGACCCAAATAGACGTTGCAAAATTTGTAATAGTTCGAAATGTTCGAAATTAAAAATGTTCATCTCGTTGATTCCCTGTAATTAATTTATTTCGTGGTACCTCACAAGTATATGTACAGTATGGGTTCTCAGTAAAAACTAATATTAAAAAAAAGCTTATGAACCTTTTCGTTGATTACATTTAATCACAATTACTTTACAGCAAGCAGTAGTTTAGTGAGTTAACTAATGTTTAAATTTCAAGTATATATAGCAAAGAGCTAATTGATACCTAGTGAGTTTTCAAAAACTTGAAATTAAATGACGATTACATTTGCCCATCGGTGCACTCTGTGAGCTTAAAAAAATGTACTAACCTATTAAGGACCAATGAAGAAATCCATTCATCTATTTATAACTATGTCATGGATGAGATTATATTTAATATTTGATATATTTGATATTTATTTATTCAGTAACAATTTATATTGTGTTTGAAATTATACAATTTTTGCTGCTAAGAAATTCATCAACACTGCAACAGAAAACAACGCAACGTAAAAAGTTTATGTGAAAGTTAACTAATGTTTAAATTTCCATTCTGCGAGTATATATATATAATTCCTTGTCTCGATTCTCCCTGGTCTCACTACCAACAATACTTTTTACAAAATCTGTTAATAGCACCAATATGTATAAGCATGGTACAGTCAATTGATAACTAGTGAATTTTAATAGCAATATAAACGCCTTATTTATATTGTATTTATAACATTCATCTATATCTAAGTTTTGATTCATAACTATTCACTAATGTCATGGATGAGATAGCTGTATATGAGTATACTTCTATAACAGAAAGATACAGTATATATAATTATAATTGATAATTTGTGTGACTTAATCAGTATTTAATTTCAATTGGAGTGTTTCCTGTATTATGTTCGACTTCGTAGAGATTCCAACGATGCAGATGAAGGCATATTGAAGTCTTAAATAAACTGTTAAATTATTTTATTGCTCCATAGGTACGCTATAGGTCAAACCATGTCCCCAGACGGTGGCGTAGTGAGCCAACTAAATATTACACACTTGAGGGTCGACGATGGAGGTCTATACTCATGTGTGGCTCACTATGGCGAGAGTGTAATAGCTCACCACGATAGACTTAACGTCTATGGTAAATATACTGAAGGATCTATTTCAATAAACGTTATTCTTAGCCCGATCCCAGATGTGGCCGATGTGTACATAAACCTACATCTTGAAACCGATACAGTAATGAAAATACGAAAGTTTATTTGCAAATGACCTCCTACACATAGTTTGTGCGCGTCTTTTTAAAGATATCAAGACACGTCTGGGACCGCCATTAATAGAATTCTATTTCATGTACGAAATAATCTCATACAGGGTTGCCAACCTTAAAAACTTAAAAAGCTAAAAAATTCATATATAAACTCAATTTAGCTTTCTGACCTTGTACACACTTATTGTACTGTTTGTAGCTAAAGTCTCGTATTTGTACGAGAATTTTCTAATAGTTGACAGCCATCCTTTTATATATGTTTTAAAATAAAAAAAATTTGAACCTAAGTAATAATAATAATAAATTTTATATAGCGTTGCCAACTTTAAAACTAAAAATCTAAAAATTAACTCATATATGTATAAGCTCAATTTTGCTTTCTGACCTGTACATACATAGTATTTTGTCAAATTTTTGTAGGTTAAAAATTTCTTGTCAGTTAGGATTTTCTTATAGTTGGCATCCCTGATTTTATATATGTTTTGTCTACATACACTTACTTATAAATATAAAATGGAGTCGCTTTTCCGTATTTAGTCTCGCATTTTGTCCACTGTGTGTGTAGACAAGACTACTAAAATAGCCTGATCCGCTTCCAGTCTACTAACTTTAAACATAACATGTTTCATTTTGTAATAAATTGATCAGACTTTTTAAAAAGTACGTTAATATTGAGTTAATGTTAATATGTTATATTAAAATAAATAAACATTCGATTCGTATAACTTCTTACTATATGTATGTAAATATAAAGTTATAAGAAAATCAAACTACTACTTAAAGTTAGAAAGAACTTCTGAACTTTTAAGTTAACATGCGCTGTCAAGATATATTATTGATGTTTTGAGAGCATCAACATACCAATATCAATTCTGAAAACTAAATAATATTATGAACTAAAATCATTCATATTTTTCGAAGTTATATAAAATAACTAATAAAGGATTCTAACGATGATTTTTATTTATTTGTTCTCCAAAGTTATTTCTAAAGATAGTATAAATAAATCTAGATTACAATATTTCTCATATGACATAATTTTTCAAAAAATTAAGTTGTGAACTAAATTATAATTGTGTATTCATAAACAATAAGTTATTTATTAATTCCACTGTTTTGAATTTAATTACAATGTACAATTAGAATTATATCAACAGTATTGTATAACATTATCATGTATAATATATCACCATAGGTCCACCGTACATTCGAACACTGCCACCATTCAAAGTGCAAAGTGGCCGGAGCGTCACCCTCAAGTGTCCTTACTATGGATACCCAGTAAGGTAATTATATTTTTATACATCTATCACACAGTCACAGTATGAAACAAACTGACAGTCCAAGTGAATGTGAGCTTTCAATACATTGATGTTGTCCCAATTATCAATTAATTAAGAAATATTGGCATTCCTTACGGCTGAGATGTTATATTTACTCGGCAGTACGTAGTTCATACCACAACAGAGTATGTAATCAAGCACGTTTAACACATGGTTACGATAGTATCTGTTATTTGAATATTTTAGCTTGTTTTATATTAGCATTAACAGTATTAGCATTTGTACTCTCCTTTCTGTGTTAATTTTATGTCAATATTTTGTAAAATTGTATTTTTGTAATGGTTTTCGGATTTATTAAAATAAATGTAAAAAAATCTTCAAAAAGGAACCATATAGATGACTAATAGCTACCAAGTAGATGACTATCCATTTGTATATATGTATGTATATAATTTTATTCATGTGATGAGTAAGCTGTAATTCTAGTTTCTAACATGTTTTGTACTAACCGCTAGGTTTCATATAACTTACAAGATTCATTTTAGTTATATTTAGGTATACTCGTTATGATTAAATAATATTTACCTATTTATAACAAAAAAATATATACACGCGAAAAATGTTTCCAGAGACATAACATGGGAGTATAAAGGTAAAGAAATAAATACTGACATATCAACACAGACGAACCGCTTTAAGCGATTCGTAAAAAATACAGCGCTGAGTATAGAAATATTTGGACGCAAACCTAAATTAAGAGAGAAAAGAGATGTGACTACTGTTAATGATGGAGTTTTATATATAGCTAAAGTTACAAAAAGCGATAATGGAGCATCATATGCTTGTGTAGTTAGGAGCCCATCTGGTGAAATGGCTAAGAGGTCATTCGAATTACATGTAGTTGAACCACCACAATTGGAAGAAATACTGTTGGCATCAGATTTACAAGAAGGACAGATAGTACAAATCCATTGTAACCTTAAAAGCGGCGACTCTCCTGTTTATTATTCCTGGCTGAAAGACGGGAAGAAAATACCTACACATTTAAAAGTAAGTCACTCAATTTACTATTCAATTGCAGATGAAAATTTTATTGATGTTAATGATTGTACTAGGTGGAATTTGGTATTCATAAAGTGTAACGCTGTTTTCTTGCTTTGTTACAAATTCAACGGCATATTTTATGACCTGACCGTTCTATTAATATTAGAGGAAATGTATAATAAATAAATTTTATCTAGACACTTCTGTTGCATATTTCTGGTATGAACTAAACTCAAATTTACCGAGATGACCTTTGTACTATTGCGTCTAAATTTGGTGAGAACTAAACTGTTTCTATGAAACTAACATTACAGTTGCTTCAATATCACAGAGACAATTTTAACTTTGTACACATTATAGAAACGGGATCTTTACAATATTAGTATATATGAGCTCCCGATATTTTAAATGACCCATGCTGGTAAGAACATCGAATATTGGCTCATAAATAATATTATTATGGGAAATAATTCATTTATATAATATGAATAATTATAAACAACCTTGAAAATAGATTGAAACAATTTTAAAATTTACCAATCCTACAGAACACGTGATGGTAGGTGATAACCCTCGCTTCATACATTCCCATAAACTGGACTACAGACTTATAAGTCTGTCCCCTGTAATTTCTAATAGTATAAAATAAAGATGAAACTCGACAGGCTGTTTTTCTTCTACCTTTTAAACCAGTCTACAGATTTTTATAAGATATTTAGTATAGTTTCAAGAATTTTTCTGAAGGGTTTACATGTATATTTCATGTATATATTTATAAAGTCCATATCGTTAAATGATTTTTATAAGATATTATCACAGTATAACGTTTTAATAATGTATCTATGGCATTACGTTTGCGCGGGAAAATAAAAAACTAAAAAAAGACTTTTGCTGACATATTGTTTTGTTTTGTTCCTACTTGATAATTATTTTTCACTATTTTTATACCTTTTTAGGATTGTAATTAATTTCTAATACATTATACTCCTTGTATATATACAATAACCCGATTATGAATACTGTATCTACTAACAAATACACATATGTGTATACCCATGTGGGTAGCTAATTTCAATAAATGAAGAAATATACCTAGACTTTGATTTTCAGATCGTAGAACGAAGCCTAGAAGTGTTCAGCGTTCTTATAATAAAGAACGTTTCACTGGAGCATTGCGGAACGTACACTTGTGTGGCAGCTAATCATGTGGCAAAAGTTAACCGAACTGTGAACTTGTATATAAAAGGTAACGATCGGAAGCCTTAGATAGAGTAGGTAGAGGTAACGTTATTACTATATTCTTAATATGATATTACTTCAAATACAAACATGTATATATTGTCTTTACACGTAGCAGATCTTGACGATGTGTTTTTCTATTTGTAGATTAAGACGTTTCGCTACGTTCCGCTACTTCCTTTCTTTATATATATTAAACTAGATTACTTTATAATATTTTTTGCATATCAAAACTATTAACTATCTAACAGATATTTAGATAGGGAAAGAAAGAATATTATCGCAAACATATTGTTAACATTAACATGCATTACAAATAGCATAGATTAAATTAAATTGGCAGCATGTATACATACAAGTACATATATATAAACAAGTACATATATATAAAAATATTAAAAGATATTTGCTAAAAAGGACTCCGCTCAGCATATTGCTGCAGCCGAAGTTACAGTGCGGCCTTAGCTTAAATAATAGTTCATAAAGCAAAATTGTATTTATGACGTATGAGATTTCTAACTGTTTAACAGCAGATTTTCTTCCACAGTTGCCCCTAAATGGAGCGAAGAACCACAAAACACATCCTTATTGTTGGGAAGAAGTGGGCATGTATCATGCAGCGCCAACGGGTATCCCCAACCCCAGACGCATTGGTTAAAAAGAGACGGTATGACACGAATTTACACTTACATTAAAATCTAAATTTTCAATCGCTGCGGATAGTTGAGAAGTCTCAACACGAAAATCCACTTAGAAATCTTAACTTCTTGCATCGATTTTGTCTACAGTCACTTGATGTATGTGCTGAATATGAATAAAAAAACCTTGTAACTTGTAATAAACTTGGTGTTGGAAATTGTATTTTTATGTAACTGAAATGGCAAACAAGCTTGTCAGCTTGTTTGTCTATCTACTACAATACCAAGGATGGAAAAATAATTTCTGATGCTCATAGTACCCTTCATGCTTAGTGTGATATATAAGTAAGACAGAAGCAACCACTTATACGACTTTATACAAAGTCTACCTGAGAATGCGGTAATATTTTTAGTAATAAGTAACTACTTATTACTTAAAATATTACCGCATGACTACGCGATGTCAGATTAGCTTCCTCCCGAGTACACTTAAATTGTGAAATGAACTACCTGCTGAGGTTTTCATGAAGAGTATATTAAGAAGAGTTGATACATCTGATATTTCCGAAGAACCATCATGATTACAAAAAAAATAATTATACTGTATACTTACTATCGAATTAAATTGAGAATTAGAAGAACCCATGAACATGAGAAGTAAAGCAGTGTCCTAAACCTTTAGACCACCAAGACCGTCAAAAATTGATAAAGAAACGTTCATATCGATATTTTTTTTAGTTGTATCTGAAACTTGGAGGCCAGTATTAGAAGTGGCTGGTGGAGGAGTTCTGAGCTTGTCCAACGGCTCCCTAATATTTGATTCTGTAGCTCTATCAGACGGGGGCGTGTACACTTGCCACGTTGAAAACGGGGTCGGTGAAGCACTTAGTAAGACTATATGGATATCAGTTAACAGTGAGTAATTTGTATCTTTTATAAATTTTATTACACTGTAACATTATAACATATTATTATATTTTTGGAATTATGTCTTGGAGAGGAGTGTAGTAGTATTGTATGTGTTTCTGTTTCAAAAATATATTGTAGAGAAGAAGAAGAGAAGAAGAGATCGACGGGATATTTGTTACTAAAAAAATATATAATTTATATTTAAATAAGCAATGTGTTTTTTTTATAATGAATGATAATGTAATGGTACACCCGCCTACGCTAATGAAATTTGCTGGCGGGGAACCAGTAGAGGATAATGAGTATAAGGTCAAGTGTCAATGACGATGAATTTGTCGTAGCAAATTCACTAGAAAGTGAGTTTCCAGGGGAACCACGTGGTCAACCAGACATCGTATATAGCTAGGAATCGGGTTATTAATCCATATTACTAATAATCACCTTTCTCCTGTGCAATGTGGTTACATCTTATTATTTAATATATATATGAAATTACAGTACCTTATTTGACTTTCACTATAGTCACATGTCACTGTATGTTTAATAAAATACGACCAGTATACATGTACATAAATTTACCATAACACTAGTTTCAGCCTATAAAAATACTATTGCATTTTATATCTATATGATTTCGAGTCAACCACTATAAAAAACATCTACTCTACCATCTTGAAGACGTTACCTTATGTATTTGAAGACCTTAAAGTATTTTGGCTATCAGTTATAAATCAAATCACTTTACAGAACCTGTAACATTCGATATAGTATCGAGGAACATCACATCGAAACTTGGACACCATGTAACCATTGAGTGTTTAGCCAAAGGTGATGACCCTATCAGGATAATGTGGACCAGAAATGGAAAGCCTATAAATCCCTTGACTCAAAGGTAAGACTATCATTAATAAATAAAAGTATAGATATCAAAGCAATCAAACGTTATTAGAACGTTTGATGTAAATTTTATAATCATGTAAGATATGTCAGTATGATGTCAGTAATCATTTGAAAATAATAAGGATTTCTAGTCAGTTCTTTTATAGCTCAAAAGCTCTCCGGACTGACGGTAGATATGACCTACATAAGCTCTTTGACATTAGCTCTTTTTTACAACCCAAAAGAACGAAGCCAGAAATTGGTTTTGTTATAGATGTTAAAAAACTGTTTTAATGCAAAAAATAGCAAACACAAAGTTCGATTTTTCAAATCAGTTTATAATTGATAGTTGCAGTTGCGCACCATGCAATTGTTTTCATATTTGCAATTGTTAAAAGATTCATATAACATATTTGGCGTACTGTTATAACCAAATTAGAATTAATTATTGAATTAAAAAAAGTTCTTTTATAATCCAGGGTAAAGATATCTGAAACAAAATCAGAAGATGGAATGACAAGTACATTGGAGTTATTACAAACCGAAACAAGCGATGGTGCCTTATATCAGTGCAGAGCTGGTAACCCATTCGGAGCCGATGTATATAGCGTTCATCTTACAATATTAGGTAAGAATTTAGAATAAACTATCAGATTATACCAGAAGTTAATTTTATTTGCGACTTTCAATACTATTTTTAGGATGAAAGATAATGTATTCTTCGTCACGATACATTATTTTTAACGTAATTTTTCATTAGCAGTTTATTCGTTGAAAGGTAACAAACATACCGTCAGACACACACACGTTCACATTTATAATATTAACTAGCAATTACCTGTGACTTTGTCTGTATAGATTAAACGATTTATTGTTATAATAAATAAAATTTCTAAAATAAATTAGTTAGTTGAGGTTGCTGCTTATAATATAAGTATATAATATCTGCGTGTGAAGTACCATCAACATCGGTCAAAAGAGTAGCAAGAACAAATAGACTAATATGTTTAAAATTAATTTTTGAGTGCCGTATATATTTTGATACGCATTTAGTGAAAACCTATTAAATTGAAATTACAAACAGACACTTTAATTATATTTATTTATATAGATATAGAAGTATTACTATAATATATACATATGTGATATAATAGGCGTCACATAATAACATGTTCTCTGTAATGCTGTTTATATACATATGTAGGTACATATGTACCACCTACAAACAGGTAAGCTTGATTGCTATTTCAATACATAATAAAACATTGTGATGATCCAATATATATATTTTTATTATATGTGTATTGAGTTATTTTTGGGGAGATACGAGGAAAATCATCAATCCAACGATGCGGGTATTGCTATCTCGTGACAGTATTTATTATTTCCTCTTATGTAGTGGTAAGAAACTATGATACATAAATTCGCTTTACCTGATGAATAAAAGAATGATGAAAACCGTTATCCTTACAATAGAAATAGAAATAATGTTTACTCGAATAAATTTAATATAACCACTATTGAATAGTCATATTTTTTTTATTCTACCACTTATTCGGAACTCAATACAAGAAGAAACAAGAAACTTGCACGTTGCTATTTTAAATAAATGTTGTTAAGAATTGTTTAAGAACTTTGTGTGAATACAAACTGCAAAATAGCAAAGTTCACTACAATTATTTTGTATTGAACGTGTATTGTATGTAAATAGAAAATTTATTTAATAGTATTAAATTATGTAAAAACCTTTGTATTCAGTGTGTGTTCGTTTTGGTCTGAATATTTTCTAAGCATGTTAAGTATGTAATTTCAATGTAGGCTTTGTGTAGTCGGCTACGTGTCTACCTTTATCTTAAATGGTCAACCCCTTTTAGACCTGAGTTTTTTTCTTTTAGATTAGTTACATTGTCATTCATAATGTTGAATCTCGTACATACACGTGACTATTGTACTACGTAATCGCTAAAATAACTTGTTATTGACTGTTTTTAGAATTCACTATCTGTCTATGATATAACTTTTTAATTGTCTATTTTCTATATAATTGTCGTTATTATTTATATTGTGTTATACATATATAATAGTGTACACACAAAGTTGTGTTACAAACACTAGTGGGCGGAAAGCTAGTTATTAGTAATTTACCCTGCTATTGACATTAATAACGTCGGTGACTCTTTAGGGTCTTTAAGTCCAAGTATTATATATAAATACTTGGACCTCAACTCAAAGACCCTAATCGGCCGATCACTGACATGGCATGTAGAGCCTTGTATTACGACGTACTTCTAAATGCATTGCAAGAACCCACCACATAAGCCTATTGTAGAATGCTAGTGGAGCTAAATAGAGCGGCTCTGCCCTAAACACCGCTTTCCCGAGTAGAAATTCGTTTCTAATGTAAATAAAAGGAAATATGGTGTACGTGCTGACTGTAAGAGTCAGCACGACTTCGTCTTCGTCACACTCACATAATAATCAATATATTTCGCCCATCATATCTTTTAATTATAGTTTTAAGTTAATGTTTTTGTAATTAAGGATTTCTGATTACTGCGACACAAGCCTTGAGCTTAGTGCAGGGATTGCTGTTAATTGTCTTGTCTACAACCATTGATGTAATGTGTACAAATAAATAAATAAATATTACTGTAAAGTTTCATCAAAATCCGTTAAGTAATTTTTGCACGAAAGCGTAACAAACATCCATCTATACTCACAAACTTTCCCGTATAATATTAATAAGGTGTCACACGCTCTTTCGTTGGTCAATCTTGTCAGACTATCAGTTTGTTTACTAGTTAAGTTACCGCTCGGATAATAAATCAGTATTAACAATAAGTATTTTTTTTACAGATTTTATTTGTATATTTTCACTATGAGACTGCAATGTTGTTTAAAGTTAATAAATACGTAGATATCCCACTGGATTTTGGCTTGAAGCCAGTGTAGTTTAGCCCGCAACTAAATTATAGTTACATTCAACCATTTATATTTATTGTTAGTGCCAATACATATACTGTTTAAAAAATAGAAACTAACTCTTACCCGCATTTTCATCTACACAAACTTTCCACAGTTTACATTAGTTTTTGTAATAAAACATAATCTGATCAACAGATACTCATGATGCAGTCTATGTTTACACGTTTTCTTAACATCCATACAATCATTTAGTAGTGCAAAGGTACGAAAGGGACGTACAAATTATGTATTTATGATATTATGATGACTTTTTGCATAAACAAATTTACTAAAACGCAATACGCAACGCAAAATTATTGTTATAGACCATAAAGTTAAATGAAATTTTTTTTTTAATCTTGGATTATGTTACTTCTAGTAATTATGTTTCATTCATGCATTTGTTGTTGGTACTTTCTGGTACTTAGAATACATTTTATAGATGGCCAAAACATTTTCCACATATTTTAAAAACTGCACGAGATTATACATATTGTTTATATTTATTTTATTATAAAATTGATTCAACCAAAAAGAATCAGCCGCAGAATATATGCTCAATAACATACTATTATTAGACAGTCCTTCTTTCTACTTCCGATTTAGCAGGTAGATTTCTTAAGACATAGACGTAGACTAAGAGAAGCCTCAAGATAATTCCCTTAGGAATAGATAGGTAACTGGTCACGGAAAATAGTTTTTATTGAAGAAATAGTTATGAAATATTGTACCGTTACGGTTTTTATGTCAAAGGCTAGTCAGAGACATCATTTACTGCCACCGTAGAAATGGGCTATTTTATATTATTATTAAAAAAAAGAACAGTATTAAGGAGGTAAGGTAACTTTGATATTTATAATATTCAAGTTGACTCCATGAAAAAAACACTCAAGGTAAAGAATAAAATAACATTATAGAAATAAAAAATTCAATGTTTGGAGCACTTCATTCAAATTGTAATACGAGATCCTTTTCATATAATACGCCGGAGTCTTGACGGAAAAGGAAATATTGTACGTCTCGTTAAAATGAAAGTAATGAGTTTTGTATCTTTTAAGAAGTATTTCTTATTGCTAGTCTTGAGGAGAACCACGTTGGCCGCTCCAAAGAAAAAAAAAACATGAATCGTGCCGTTGGCATTATAGTACGTAAGTAGTATAGTATGGAACGCTGTATTTCAGAAACTACTCATGCTTTACTCACAGTGACATATAAAGTATTTCTTTTATATTTCTGCATCCTAATTATAATAAATAAATAATTACGATACTCTGGATTACTAACACAGAGCCATCTAATTATGGACGTACTTAATTTTAATTTTTTTTGTAGCTACTTATATATTTTTTATTTTACGATGATCGCAACAGGCATACGGCCCATCTGATGGTAAATAGTTACCGTAGCCTATGGATACCTAAAACACCAGGGGCCTCACGTACGCGTTGCCGACTCTTAAGAAACCTTAATATAGGGTATATCTTGAAAAACCCCATGCTGTAATCTTGTGAGCAATCCTCCCTGGGCGGGTAGTTCATTCCACAATCTAAGTGAACGTGGGAGGAAGCTCCTCTGAAACCGTTCTGTTAAAACCACCACTCGCCATCGACAGGGAATTCATCCCCACCTGGAATCTAAGTGGTCTCGCACTTAGATTAGATTGTGGAGCGGTTATATATTAAATTATTGTACACGACATGCATAGAAAGTATCTAGGCCAATGCAAACCGTATGCAAATTGTACGGAAATCAATTTCGCAATTAACGGAAGGTAAATAAGTGATTTAACCTACATAGTACATGATTTAGTGATGAATAGATGATAAATATCTGCTTCAATTATAAATAAGAAATGCAAAATAATAAGTTTAAATGAACTCCAAATAACATTACTTCTAAAAAGGTAAAATATATAAACGGCAGTAATTTAATGTACCTACTAGTTTTTTTAATTATTATTTTACTAGCTGTGCCCGCTGTCACCCACGTTAAATTTCAATAAAAAAATATGGCCTATGTGTTATTGTGATGCATAAGCTATATTACTGTAAAGTTTCATCAAAATCCGTTCAGTAGTTTTTGCGTGAAAGAGTAACAAACATCAATACTTACCACCTTTCGCGTTTATAATATTGTTAAGATTATACCTTGATATAAAAAATATAATTGAATTATATTAAAGTTATGATTTCTATTACATTTAGAACCACCGTCCCCACCTTCAGACTTGTCAGTTGATTCGGTCAAGAGCAGATCTGTAAAGCTATCCTGGAGAGACATGGCGCGCTCTCTCGCCCAATATTATTGTTTACAGATCACAAACACTCAGAGAGTGTCGTGGAATAATGCTAGAAGTATTAATATAACTAGGTAAGAATATTCACTATACTTGCTATAGTCTAATTAATTTATATATGTATTTTATTTATACGTGTATACTAAAACTTAACAACATGTACTATTTATACAAAATTAGGTAATTCCCGTGACTACCTTTTGTCTTTTGAGATAAAATACAGAAGTTTTAGATATAAGTAGACTGCGTTCTCAAGATACGATTTGTCTTCATGTTTTTCATTGAGATCATATAATATAACCTATCTTAAATATAAATATATATTTAAAATAGGTTATATTAAAGATAATGGAATGTGCACTCGCCGGTGCTAACGAGAGCAGGGAGTTAGTGGAGGATGATAAGATGAATATGAGTTCAGGTCAGTTAGCCCATAATGAAAAATTCACCAAGAATTTGTCATGGTAAGGTTTCCAGAGGGAATTGCGTGGAGGTCAACCTGACATGGTACATTGCTATATAGCTAGCTTGATAATAGATTCATTGTTAATAATATGAACTGACAACTCCATTCGCTAATGGAGTTGTCAGTCTACATTAGAAGTCCCATTTCCCACATTTTAATTCTTGTTTAATCTCATACACTATAAGTTTAGTTTTTTTACTCAATATTAAACTATGCCTCTCTATTTTTAGGTTAGAAGAAATTCGTCATTCAATAGATGTTGAGGATTTGCTACCTTCAACCGCATATACAGCGAGAGTAGCTGGCGGTAATCAGGCCGACCTTAGTCATTATTCTTCACCTGTTAGATTTACTACTACAGAAGAAGGTAAGATGTTTAACTATATAAAAGTGCTATTAAAGCGATTGGTCTTAGTGTGTTCCTCTTTGGACTTTACGACCGACTATGTCACGGTCAAACGGGGATAGACACGACGGCCTGAGTTGAGGTTCAAATTTTAGCGATGCCCTCGGTCGTATCTGTTAAGCTGGATGTTTAACTATATAAAAGTGCTACTTGAAGATATTGATTTTAGTGAGTCATTCCCTTCCAACCATCTGATCGACTTTGTCCCATTTAAATGGGGATCGACAAGACGGTCTGAGTTGAGGTTCGAATTTCTATCAACTTTTAGCCGCTTCATAAGTTCTTCCGCGGGTTTGGAGACATCTCTCCTACGCTACCATTTTCGCACATTGAAGCTGTAAAAAGCAACTACGGCCAACAGCAATATAATAATTTGTAAAGTAAGTCATTGATTAAGATTAGTTTTGTTAGTGTATGTTAAAATATTTAAAAAAAATCTACACTAAATAAGATACATACATCTTAAGTCTTAGTCAGTTTATTTTAGAGTGCTTTTTACAAATAATGGAAAAAATTGTGTTGACAGAATTCAACAAACGATTAAGGTATATTTTGATACTATATGGCTTTATTATATTGAGTAAAACATTTAAATAGAAGATTATACATGCTTAATCCTTTCATTGTATAATGAATGGGAACGGGTTATAATTCGACCTTTTCATATGTTATTTTTCATAAATGCGGTAATGTTAAACTAGTTGCACCCTCATACATTCGAAATATTAGGGTTACTAAACCCTTGTAGACTTGTAAAGTCGGGGAGGGTTTAGTAGCCCTGCAGAATAACTTTAATAAAACAATAGCAGGCTAGGCATACTGTTGATTGATTGTCATTGTATAAAGAAATCTCGTTTGTAGCTCCATCATCACCACCTTTAAGTGTGCAGTTGGAACAAACAGACTCACCTGGAGAGTTGAGTGTGAAGTGGCTCCCTCCTCCACCAGATACCCACAACGGTGTTATTATAGGGTACCGATTGAGGGCGGTCCCTCAGTTAACTGGCATGAAAGGTTCGTAATATAATATTACTAGCTACTCGCCCCGGCTTCGCACAGGTGTACATGTATTATATATATAAGCCTTCCTCTTGAATCACTCTATCTATTTAAAAAAATCCGTTACGTATTTTTAAAGATTTACGTATACATAGTGACGGACAGACAGAGAAAGCGAGTTTATTTTATACTATGCAATGATATTTAATTTAGGAATATTAACGGCGTAATTTTTCATATTACCAATCATATTGAATTACTTCTATGTATAATATTTAATATTCACCAACAGTAATATAATAAATATAATTAATAAATTTCGTATTATTATTATTTTAACTTATATACTAAATATTAAACACAAATCAACTGGTGGAATAACTAAATAAGACTATACCGATATAATAATATTTCCCGTCTGATCAGTCAGGAAGGATTGCTAATAATGAATAAATAAATCATTACATTTCATCTAACCTGAGTGAACGTTATATTTAAACAATAGATAATTTTCTGATATCATTACGTTAATCTCCCAATAGATATCGTCATTTTCAGATCCAATGTTACTGTTTGGAATAATGACTTGTTTGTTTGTATTGTTGCCATCATGTTTGTAAGGAGAAATAAATAAATCATATTATTATTATTATTAAAAAAAAATGACGTACACATCGTTTGCTAAAACCAAATTGCAGTAAAATATATATTTTTTCTTTTATATTTACTTAAAATATTTCCGTTTTTTTTTTCAGATTATTTGTTTTGTACTAATCTAGAATGTTTTCTTACAGAAACTGAAGAATCAAGTGACAAGACTATGAAGACGAGTTCTTTATATTCAAAACAAGAAACCACTATTACAGGCCTTCTAAAAGGTGTCAGGTAAATAAATTCAATTATTAAGGAACGTAGGCTAAAATATGAATAATTGTTTCTGCAAATTTACTAATATCTTAACTTAGATTCTTCTTCTTAGATTCTAAGAAATATTAAAATTGTCTTTTGGCCAACATTTATAAGGATCTCGATTTTTCGAAGCTTCAATTAGAATGGCAAACAAGTGACAGTCTACCTGATGGTAAGTGGTAACCGCCGCCCATAAACAGCTACCGGTGGGAAGAAGTAAGATTTGATGCCTCCGTACCCTGATTTCATGACTTACAAAATTGTTTAGGGTTATTACAGTATCACTATAGTAGTTATTTTTTCACTAAAGGTATGCAGTCTCGGTCGCAGCATTCAACGGCGCTGGACTTGGGCCATTTTCCATTCCTTTGTTCCAAGATACGAGAGAAGGGGGTGAGTCTTACCTATTTTTAAAGTTTAAAATGTTGGATTTTTTTGTCCCCATGTATGCGCCATGTTAGATTGAAACTCGTCCAATTAGAAACTGTTCACACGTTTGTATTATATGAACAATTAAATATATAAATCTATTGAGAAAATTTTAGGTACCTACTAAATTGGTAATCAAATTGGCACATACATATTCTTCCACAATTCTATTATAACTCTATTTTGTTGAATGTGTAATTATGTACAAATGTGTATTTTTATGTTAAACGATAAAGAATTTGTTCCAGTGTATATATAATATTTCAGTTGTCATAATCATAATGTCTTAAAATTTCAATTTTTCATTTGTTTATGATTCAAACTTTGATGTAATATGTTTTTATATTGTATTTTAAACAGTTATAGTTATAAAAACGAATAAAAACTGTTGTAAATTAGAACGAAACCGTTTATCCATTTTTACAGCAAAAGAAAACTTTGTCATATTCCCCTCCGTCTCCTTTTACAGCAAATATGCAAAATTAACACAATTTTCTCGAGCAAAAAAATTCCCCATTCACAAAGTGGGGCGAAAATTTCGAAATTACGTCAACAAGTGTAACACGTAAATTAGCCGAATTCGCACTTTACGCCGAAAAGTTTTTAGCATAAAGCGTTATCGTCTTCATTAACGTTTTTCGTTGAAACTCCCCTATTGCTGTTATAATTACTTCTCACCTTTTGTTATGTGCTCATTATATTTTATATTTTTCACTTTTGCGCTTTATAAAACTTTTTAAATCCTCGGTTTTGATATTTTCAATTAAAAATCATATGACTTTAAAATGTTAATTTAATTTTAATATACTTATTCTTTGCACTAGGGAAAATATAAGTAAGTACTATACTGTTTTAAAGCCACTTAAAGTATGATTATATATTTAGAGCGGATTTTACAATGAAAGAATGAACGGAACCACTGTACAAATTTAAGAAATTATTTCATTATTTGAACGGCACGTACAAGTTATTAGAACTCTGCCAAAATGGAAGTATGCCACTTGTCTAAATTAATTCTGAATTACAATACTAATAAGAAATGCAATAAACAAAAATTCCAGATATCCATTTTCCTCTCATTCTCATCTATTTTGTTTTACAAATCGAATACAAATTGTATTCTTTGACGTCTTGGGTGGTCTAGAGGTATAGCCTACGGCCTTTCTCCCAATCGTCGCGATTTCGATTCTTCGCACGATGCAAACATTTGTATTAATTGTATATTAATGTTATGTGTGTATTTACAAACTAAAATATACTTAAGTATTTCTAACAGTCTTGTACTATAACATAAGCTCTGCTTAATTTGGGACTAAGTGAGTTATTATTTACATAGATGTTTGAGTGCACACATATAAAATCTTCATAGTCAAAACGACATTTTACTTATAATATTGTAATCTCTACACAGCTCCTGAAGAAGGTCCATCCTCAGTGGAGTGCGGTGGTGTGACGTCGACAGCTTTGAGAGTGAGCTGGCAGCCCATTCCACCACATAAGCAAGCCGGTGCTCTAATTGGATATTCTGTGCTGTATGCTGCCCAAGGTAAGGCACTTATTGAAGGGTTTTTTAAAGGATGATAATGGAGTGGTGCCGCCTGCACTAACTCATTATGCTGGCAGGGCCCCAGTGGAGGATAATAGGATGAACACGAAGTCAGATCAGTTAGCCCAACGTGACAAATTCACCGGGAATGTATCACGATGGTTTCCAGGGGGAACCGCGTGGAGGTCGATCTGACATGGTACATTGCTAGCAATGGGATCATTACTCCACATTACTAACAATCCCCTTCACCACTTATTGAAGGGTTTTTTTTTAAAGGATGATAATGGAATGGTGCACCCGCCTGCGCTAACGGTTTACGCTGGCGGGACACCAGTGGAGGATGATAGTATGAACATGAAGTCAGATCAGTTAGCCCAACGTTATAGAAGGGTTTGAGCTATTGCTAGATGCATTAGACTTGTAGCACTGGACCTACATTGATTTACGTATTGTGCTCGCCCTAGACCCGTCAGGGACAAGAATTGAGGATATTGTTAGGATTGATGGATTTAATCTTCTCAGGATAGAGTGTATACTTTCCAATGGAGTTATTTCTTTTATGCATGAGTAGTATGGTATTTACTACGGTGTCTCTATGTATTATTAAATTGCGAAGGGCGTATTAAACTCAGCGCCTTAAACTTAAAAAAAATATATACCTACTTAGTTTTAAGTAATTTGAATGGCAAACAAGACTCACCATGTAGTAAATGGCAACTAAAGCACCATCATGTGACTGAAGTTGTTGCCATTCCGGAGGATTAAGATGTACCCTGTAATTTATCTGCCATATCTCAACTTTTTACTACCATACAACTTACAACTGCTTTGCCTGAAATGTATGAGATAGAGGTATCCATGCAAACTTTATAAAAAGTCTATATCTGAACCTCTAAATATATAGAACTCAAAGGTGACTGACGTAGTGATCTATCAACGCACAGCCCAAACCACTGGATGGATCGGGCTGTAATTTGGCATGCAGGTAGATGTTATGACGTAGACATCCGCTAAGAAAGAATTTTTATTAATTCTACCCCCTAGGGGATAAAATAGGGGATGAAAGTTTGTATGAAACTTTGTCAATTTTAAACCGATCGGGCTGAGATTTTGCATACACAAAGCTACTATGTAGGCATCTCCTAAGAAAGGATTTTGATAAATTCCACCCCTAAGGGGATAATTTAACGCGAGCGAATCCGCGGGCAAAAGCTAGTATAATATATAGGAAAAGAAAAAAATATGTGAGATGAATAATAAACATATGATTTACAAGACGCCATTGTTTCTCCAGTCATGTTTGTATATTCTAAGACTTACTTACATAAAGTAAATACATTACAAGTTTACACATGTAACATGTAAACACTGAGGGGACAATAAACCAAATTGTTAACAAATGGACTATACAGTACTACAATCAGTCGTAACTATTGTTACAAAAGCTTTGTGATAGCTGAAATTGATGCGAACGTGCAAATACCAGTATGAGATATATTTAGATGAATTCTGAATGGTATTTGTAGTCGGAAGGACATATTGAGCGCTGTGATAATGCCTGCCAATAACGAAGCATGTAAACATAATAACTGTGATTGCATATTTTCTAATGCTAGGCTTTCTAATTTACACTATTAACTTTTTTGTTTGACAAATGATGACGACCACGGTGGTCTGACTATTTAACACACCGCTTTACTTCCAAAGGTAGCGGGTTCAATTCCTCGCTCGGTCCAAACATTTTTATTCATGAGTACGATTGTTTGTGTCAGTCTGAGTGTTTTCTATGTATAATATGTATGTATTTCCGAAAAAAATAATATCTATGTATTTGTATTACTTATCTAGTACCCATAACACAAGCTTTAGTAGTAACAGTAGTAGTAACTTGTATCTAGATGGCGCTGTGTGAATTGTCCTGTGATTATTATTACAAACAGAAAAAATCTATAAACAATGTTTGGGTTCAGTTTACATTTTTAATGCAATATATTATGCAGACTATATTATAGCCTGGTATTGTGCTTAGTCAGACATAAGATTAATACGTAATAGACGAATTTTTATATAGACATATCATAAAACATGTAACTGATAGCTGATAGTAAATGGAAAAAATGGTATTATTAGGGTTGGTAACATGTCGATGTCTGTTCACATGTAGGTATATAGGTCAAAATTACCTCTTTCCATCAAATGAGCCATCAACATATTTGCCATTGTCCTTACATAAAATAAAATATATACACGTATAGGTGACATACACAACCACTTTCTGGAATCGTCTTCCATTAATGGTATTTCCGAATCGATATATTGAAAATTTAAAAAAAAAGCGTATTCCTTCTTATAAAGGCCGCCAATGAACTTGTAATTCCCCAGGTGTTGCGGGTGCTCATAGACAGCGGTAATCACTCACCATCAGGTGAACCGCAAACTTGTTTATCTCCTGTACTATAAAATATATATATTGTATCGTTTATGTTATTTTTTTTAATGGTATCATTATCACCTACTATTATTATTCTACTTCTGAAAAATATTAATCACAAATTTAGTTAGACACTAATGTACCCATTTTAATTAAATTAATTATAATCACAGCCACGGAACAGTCTAGATTTATTCGATTAATTACCGCAAACTGTACCAGCAGTTTCCTTAATTTGTAACATGTCTGCACATTATGTGAGTTAGCTGAAAAGCCTCTGCCATGTTTGCTAACTACTAACCAAATGAAATTGGAGGGAAAAGGGGATTGTTAGTAATGTGGGCTGATGATCTTATTTCTAGTAATGTCCCATGTCAGGTTGACCTTCACGCGGTTTCCCCTGGAAATCATCGTGATAAATTCTTGATGAATTTGTCACGATGGGCTAACGGACCTGAACTCATGATCATCTTATCATCCTCTACTGGTGCCCCGCCTGCGTAAACCGTTAGCGTAGGCAAGATCACCTTTCCATTATCACCGACATAAAAAAACGTCATGAAGTTGAATTTTGAATAGTTTCAATTTCATCCTATTTTCAATTCACGACATTTACGATTCAACGATTTAATTCACGATTATACGGTTTTGTGTGTTTTGAATCTGTTTAATAAACCCTCATAGAAGTTAGAAGTTCTCTAGGGATATTTCAATGTATAATAGAGGTTCTTAAGGGTCAGCAACGTGCACGTGACACCGCTGGTATTTCAGGTTGGTATCAGTTTAACATCAAATGGGCCGTATGTTAAATTACTACTACCATTGCGGTGTATGAGTCTGACTGACTAATCTCATAGATTGTTTTCAGCAATAAGGTCACCTTATTGTAATTATACGTGAGTCCTTTAATATATTTGTTACTGGATCGGTAACACAATAAATAATATTAAAAAACTGAATAATTGTGATAAATATGTATAATTCCCAAGAGCGCTCGCAGAGAGGTAATCAAAAATGATATATAAAAAACAAATATAAAAAAAAAATATTTACAAAGAATGGACAAGCTTCCAGCAACAATATTTGTTATATTTCTTCAGTAGGTTTCCTTATTGTATGTCCCAAATAAAATGGATTTTATCCATAGTGGATAATATTATATATTACGGATATATTATACATTTATTTATCGGTTCTATATGTTCAGAAAGCTATTGCAACTACTCAAAAACTATAAAAAGTAAATCAATACAAAAAGTGTAAAATAAACTAATCAAATTACGTATCAATATATAGATTGAAATTATTATTTAGAATCCAATCCGGTCACTATCCATCAAGAAAGTACGGATATTTAATGAAAAAGGAGAATTCACCCGACTATGTTGTGTGTCAAAAAGTCGAAGATGTCCAGCACCTCTTGATGGAATGTGATAGGAATAGAGTAGATAGGGAACTGTTTATTAAAGATTTTAAAATCAACAAATTTGATGTGGGTAGTATTTAGAGCATACTACATGCCTCTACTACGGCTATTGCTCTGCGTTTGTGTGCGCTGATAAAAGCAACTTAATAAATAGATCCCTCGCAGTTGGCAATACGTTACGTTAATTACGTATCATTTTTAAAGTGAGTTTTAAGTGGCCAGCGATAGACTATGAAGTCCACAATATTATCTATCTATCTATCTCATTGTTATCATCAAGATTATTTGTAAATAATACTACTTATTACCATGTACTGCCTGATTGCTTTAAATCACCTATTAATTATTTAGGTCGACACTGGCAAAATGCCACATCACTAGTGACCGAGCTTCGTCTACAAGGTCTGCTGAAGTTCACAAACTACACCATCAAAGTGGCTGGCTTCTCCAACTACGGACTGGGCCCGTTCTCCTTCCCCATTGTGTGCGCTACGTTGCAAGACGGTGAGTAACTTTGATTGTTACAACTTTAGATGGACTTGTATAACATTGTCTGTTGTTATATTACTTGCTGGCAATATAACTTTACGGCTGGAAGGATTTTTAAAATCGGTTAAGCACTCTTTGAGTGTATATATTTTTAATCCTTGTTTCAAAAATAAGGGGTATTGTATCTGTGTCTGCCTGTGGCATCGTAGCTCCTAAACGTGTTAGGTATATTTTCTGCTGGCAATATAACTTTATGACTGGAATGATTTTTTAAAACTGCTAAGAACTCTGAGTTGTTCTATTTTTCGTGTCTGTCTATGACGTCGTAACTTCTTAACAAATAATTTCCTAAGAGAAATTATGCGTTTTTGTTTTATTTGAAAGCTAACACGATCGTAATGGTCTTAGTTATATAAATCATGAAGATCTAGTTAGGTATTAGAAGACTAACTGCTTTCTGCTTGACCAATGAATTTCATTATAATTAAATTAAATTATAACACTTTATTGCACCAACATATAAAGGACATGAACAAATTAAAAACAAAAAAAAAACTAAGTACAAAAGGCGGTCTTATCGCTAATGCAATCTCTTACAGACAACCTTTGGAAAGAGAGTATTTATAAAAAAAAATAGAGTAGGTGGCGCATTAGTGGAAACATAAAAATTGTATACACTTATGTAAACAAAATAAAATATAGTACATACACAAATTTACATATATATACATACATATGAATACACAATAATATAATATAATAATATAGTATACATCAAATAATTATACGTAATCAAATATTACACATATAAACCAGAAAAAAAAATTATATCATACTAGTTAAAAAGTCACAGATAACAGTGTAGAAGAAGGAAACATATTTACAAAGAGAGAAAATAGGATTTGATATATTATAATCCTTTTTATAACTCTGGGTTCTTTAATTTAATTGTACTTCTTATGAAGGTTATAAGGGTATGAATTAAATTAATTATATGAATAAAGAAATACTAAAATAACGTTTTAAAAACAAATTTTGTCATTACTTAATATGAATAAGAGAAGTTAAATTTATTATTCAAGAAGAATAAACAAGACACGCTTGAAGCTTTCAATTCTAAAGGCATAAAACTGTTCCAGTACCGGATGCGCCGGCGGAAATAAAACTACTATCTCAATCGACGAACTCACTCTTAGTTAGTTGGAAGAAGCCCAGCCAACCGAATGGCAGACTATTGCACTACACTATATACTGCAAACCGACTGCTAGGTAAGTGATTTAATTTGTTTCTAAAGTATAGTCTAAAATTTAATGTAAAGTATAGTCCTTTTATTTACATAATTGGAATAGCAAACAAGCTGATAGCAAACAGCAATCGTTTCAAGTCGTCATTTGACACCCTACTTATGTGTTGCCATTCCAAACAATTATGATGTTATCTCTCTTATTAATTAATTATTTATATTTTAATTAAAGTAAGTAGATACAAATTATGCTTATTAATTGCAAATACTAAGAATATAATTTTTTTTTACGATTTCTATTAATAGTCTATACACTTTTGTAACTGTTATATTAATAAATCATGTATTTATAAGTGTAAAAATATATTGTTGGATGTATTTGTTTAAATCGAAGTCTGTAAATTATTATTTCAAACCAAGAAATAATAACACATATCACGCCGTTATAGATTAGAGTAGAATAGAAAAAATATTCATTGAAATAAATTTAAATTTAGGTATTTTCGTATAATATAATAATTTTTAATATATTAATCATTGGGAAACGAAATCATTTTAGCCAACCTTTATATACAAAAAAAATTGGTCTCAAATCTAACTTTAAATTTTTAAATCAAAATACATATTCAGATTTACAAAATAAATTAATTTTTAAATATAAATTACCAAACAGCACGAATTTATCAGAATTAAAAATACGTTACGTAATTAATAAATCAGTCATAACGATCAAAGTTAACTATGTACATATTCTGTCGAAGTGGTATACTCTAAAATTCAAGTTATCTGTCTTATGCATTAGTTTATTGTGCAATGCTATGTACTCTTAGTAGTCTTATAAGGCAGCATAGAAATAGATTGTGACAATGTATTACTACTTTGTCGTTTAATTGACATTAATTTGTTTCATAAAGTAGTTGACTATTACTAATAATAGCGAATCTTGTAGAGAAACTTTATAGTTAATGCGCAATACAAAGAAAATCGTAACCGGGGGGAAGCCCGATACTTGTGTTACTATGTAAGGCACATTGTTTAACAATAAAATGTTTCTGTAGAGAACTTGTTGTTTACTACTCTACACAAAGATTGCACGTAATTGGAAATAGATCAACATTTTATACATATCTACTCAAATAAAATAAAAATCTACTATAAGAATTACTAGATTTTTACTGACGAAGACTTTGTCGAAAGTCTCCTGCATGTATGCAAAATCTCAACAATTTCATCCACAAAGCAGCTTGCTTTATAAGATGTATTTCGGTTGAAGAATTAGATAAAGCAGTGTAATTAAAGGATAAAAGGCATGACATCATAGTCCTCCGATAGATAAGGAATACATGAGTGGTATCGGGACGTTATATGATAACTTATATGATCCCGTCCATATACATATATGGTTATCAAGTACCATCAGGTAGTCAGCTTGTTTACAATTACAATTACATAAGAAAATGCTATATGTTACTGTTATAAAGTTGAAAGAAAGTGAAGGATCGATAGAGCTTGTTGAAGTTGAATTGAAAGTTACATAAAGGCTGAAGGAGGTTTTGTCAGAGAACTAAGAAGTCCTTTGAGTCACTGCGTACTTGCATGAACAGGTATCTGTAGTAGCATGCAAACTTAAGTTCTATTACAATGTACGAAAATCCATGTCAGGGAATCTCAACCAATTATCGTACTTGTTTTTCGGGCAAGTGTTATTATAAATTCGCAAAATGTAATAACTAAATTTATAATCTTATAACATACTAGTTGACTTTTAACATTGTTTTGCCGTATACATTACTAACGCTATTAAAGAATGGAGTTAATGGTAGAAGAGTGAAAAATTAATATCGATAACAACCTATTCTCAGAGCTACCATGTACACATATAAAATATCATTTAAATCGGTTAAACCATTTTAGAGAAGTATGACTACTAACATTGAGACACGAAAATTTTATATAGATTCAACCGAATTCAACCTTTGAGTAGAAAATAATTAGGTTATGATGCCGACATCTTCAAATTAAATCTGTTTAAAAAATATTTTGTTAACAGCAATGATGGCCCTCAAACAATACGCATGGACGCACAAATAACTCATGATGCTTACGAAAAAACTCAAACTGTAGAACTGAAAGATCTAAATGAAGGAAGACAGTACGATGTTTGGGTGACTGCCAGTACTGCTGTGGGTGAAGGTCCTGAAACCAAACGCGTTACCAACACGCCTTTGCAAAGAGGTAAGTTTATGTAGTAACATCTTTATGTTATTCTTACACTGTTAAATTAAAATGCAAGGAATCCTGATATACATGCATAACATATAGTTATGACTTTTATCTCAGATGGCATAGAGGTATTGCCAACTGTCGATATTATAATATCCAGTTAATATCCATTGAGTCGTAAAAGTGCAATAAGAGAACAAACAGTCGGACACTTTTCGCTTTTATAATATTGGTATGTAAGAACACATCCTTTAAACTGGGTCTTGTATGTTTTGTTCATTTATGTATTTGCATGTGCAATACATATAAATAAATTTATTTTTACACTAGTGGTAGCAGGAGTTGCATCGCTAGGAGGAGAAGTTACAGTAGCAGTTAGAAATTCCCTCTTATTGGAATGCAAGAGCGTGGGATCTCCTCCACCGAGAACAGTCTGGTATCACAACCAGAATATCATCACTCATCATCCTCGGTTTACAAGGAATAGAGATGATAGCCTTCTAATTAAAAGTAAGTGTTTTGAGGTTATTAATGAATTTGAAATAATTTTAAGAGTTTCAGAAGTATATACTTCATTATACGTTCTTATTACGGCACATTGGAGTATATTTTAACACCAGCTTAAGTTACGAAATGAAATAAGGAATATATAATATTATATAAGTAAAATGTATTATTAATTCTTTTTGTTAGAATTTTCAAATTGTCAGATGGCAGTTTCGAAGAAATTAAATACGAATTTTCCTTGTTTGCTAAAAATAAAATGTAAATCGCGGATATTATGAGTTATGAAACCTTTTTTCAAAGAAGAAGCACCGTAACAAATAATAAAATATAGGGGCCCTGTTAAAATGAATTCAGTAAATGAAACACGATATTACACAGCAAACTTGAAATATTAATATTAAACAATATTGTTTTAAATATTATAGTAAATATCATTTTTATATTGAAGTTTATAAATGAAATGGACAAATGTACGACTTTTAGGTACGAATATACTACTTAATTAAACTGTAAAATAGTGTATTTTACAGTTAATGTTATACACATAATACAACATACTTAAGGATAGATAACTCAATTATTAAATATTTTGAATCACACTACACAGATTTTGTACCGTATCTCACTTTCAATTCAACACAGAATTGCTTAGTTATTATAGAGACATTCTCATGCAGACAATTTTGTACAATTTGTCCTCTACCAATATGTGTACTCTTTTTGTATTTATATAAAAGAACTAGGTGTACCCGCGACTGCGCCCGCGTATTGTAGTGACCTTGATCAAATAAAGAAAAAATATTCAACAATCTTAACCAAGTTACCCAACCCCTTTAATTTTACCCCCTTAAGGGTAATATTTTTACAAACTTCTAATGCCATTTATTTATATTCAGTCAACAGCCTAAAAATGAGTTACAAACTTCTATGTTTAAAAATGACGACACTTCCATACAACCCTTTATCTCTCTTTTCAACCCCTCACTTAATAAGTTTCAAGCTTCTAACTTTAAAAATAACAATAATAAATAGTAAGGATTACTATAAAAGTTTTATTGGAACACGCTTTAATTTTTTTACTTTTTCGTGTTATCAAAACTTAATAGTACAAAGTGTTTATTTCCTTTTAGGTATCGACCAATCTCTCAGTGGAAATTATACGTGCTTAGCCAAAAACTTATACGGATCTGATTCTGTGGTATACGCCGTTAAAGTTCTTCCATTACCAGATCCCCCAGCACTTAGAGCTACTCCATATAAAGATTATATTGTGGTAGAATGGGATGAGTCTAGAAGCCTCAATAACGATACTCTAGGTTACGGAATTAGTGAGTATCATTCATTGGATATTTCTATATTGAATAATGAATACAATAGCATGACTAATGCAAAAGATGCATGACGTTTTAATTTGCTTAATATATACCTACAGATGAAAGGAGTTGAATAAAATTTGATTAGGGATAACTTCTATCGTAGAGACGGAAATATGCTTTTTTTACTTGTAACTAATAATGTATTTTTTATCATGGAATGGTTCATCTACCTTCGATGAAGATGGTGGGGCACCAGTAGAGTATGATAAGATGAACATGTCAGGTCAGTTAGCCCATTGTGTCAAATTTACAAACAATTTATTACAAAGGGTTGTAATCCAAGCACATGGAAGTACGTGGAGCTCAATCTAATAGTATGGTCATAATTGCCTCTTTTGGAAGAAACATAACAGGATAGTTTATTCTATGTCTCTTTGTAGCAGCAATCAAAGAACATGATTATGCGCGGTAATAGTTTTATGCACTGTTAAAATAAACTTAACTTTTAAAGGTTACAACTTAACTTGGAAAGAAGGGGATGGCCAATGGCAAGAAGCATGGCCCGTGGCCAGAGACTCTCGTCTTCCCGGACTACAGCAACATACTCTAGCTGGACTGAAATGTGGAACTAAGTATTCCGTGAGAGTCACAGCCACTGACCACATTGGTACATCAGCACCGGCACATGCCGATGTTACAACACTAGGTGGCGGTAAGTTTCTTTAAATTTAAACGTTGCATGTTGTTCTTATTAAAAATCGACCGACTAATGTCAACCGTATAGAGGTCACGGCGACAAAAATTCAAAGATTGAAACAAAAACCACCTAACAAGGTCCTGGATCCTTCTATGCCGCGATGTCTAAAGATTGGACATTTCAACCTACTAACTAAGCAAGAAACTTTAAATCTAGTGCTATGAAATTATTCATTCAATCATGTAGTAATGTCTTCTTTAGCGCCTGTATCACCACCATCGACTGACTGGTTGTGGAGCAACGCCACTCATATTTATATCCAATTGAGTGGTTGGGACGACGGAGGCTGCGATGTTAATAATTGGGAAGTAGATTACAGGACTCTGGGATCTAACTCTTGGCATAGGGCGGAGAATAAAGCGGTAAGATTTTCACTACTTTCATTATTAATACTTTTTCAAAATGAATAACCTGGTTTTGCTACTATAGATCCTTATTTATAAGTTATGGGTTGTTGCTAAATACCATAAAGTATTTTTCATTAAGATTTTATTGCCGTAGTAGTCAAACATTAAAATTTAGAACGACTTAAAATTGCGTTTCTATTTTTAAAACGTATTAAAAGTGATAAACTATAAAATATGAACTTCGGTAGTAAGTATATTTTAGAGCATGCTATGAATGTTTGTTTTTTATACATTTCAATTGTCAATATACACTTATCAAATAAGTGTTCTATTATTGTAAACAAAATATAAGACAGTATATAGTTTGCAAACGAAAACTTCATTACATTCCCATGTTATTGAAATGGAGTACAATTCTATACCGTACTAGCTAAAAGTCAGCCCCTCTATAGATATATAAGATGTAGAACGAAGGTTAGCCCTTTTGTGGGATTCAATAGAAATCTTCGATTACATTTTGCAGATTGACTCCCTTTACATTATTATATTACATTACCTGTTAGATATTATTTCATTTCCTTTTGGTTTCGATAATGGAATTTGCAAAGTATCTAGAATTACAGAATTTGTGATTGAGAATTATTTGAGAGGGACTGTATCTTGCAGCTTTGCTCGAATATATTGAGATCAAAAAGATTCCAAGATATGTTACTCAACTATCTGATTCATACATTAATCAGATAGTTGCTTAATAATATTAAAAAAATCTCGCTCATATATAAATTTAATTAAAGATCATAATAAAAAAATATTTAGATCTAACTCTAATTAAATTTGATATTGTGTTTTGTGAATATTACTAATAAAACTAAAACGCGAAAGTTTGTGAGTGTGGATATATAAATGATTGTTACCCTTTCATGCAAAAATTACTGGATGGATTTTAGTGAAACTTTACAATTATATAGCTTATACATCAGAATAACAGATAGGCTAAAAATTTAACACGGGTGAAACCGCGGGTACAGCTAGTAAAGAATATATGTATATAAAATCTATCCGTTTATGCAATTGGATAACAAACATCAAAACATCTGTTATAATTAAATAAAATATAAAAGCAATGTGTTAAACCAGAATAATTCATTTAATACAGCCCATGGATCTGAATCTTGGCTGGAGTTACATTGAAGGCCACTACCAAGCGCCTCCACTTCGGTCTATACCAACTTCGTACGCTGTCGGATCTCTCTCTCCCGCAAATTGGTATCAGCTGAGAGTGACAGCGACAAATGATGCTGGAACTGCTTCTACTATATATACATATGCAACGAAGACTTTGGATGGAGGTAATATTTTTTTTTCAATGTTAGTGGAATGGAGAATGATATCCAGATGATAATAAGTGATCCGTATATCATACCAGATATATAATTCCATTATGTAATGTTGAATTCCTAATATGGCGTCATCCTCGGTAACGGTAATAATAAGATTACTATATCTCACCTTTCAACCGAAACACAGCCTACAAAGTAAGTAGCTTGACATTAATCACTTAACTCACAGATTATTAAATGTCAATTTCTCGAACCGTCCATGATCCAGTGAGATCTTATCTTGAGATTGCGTTGGGGATCGGCCATCGTGTGGATTCTCTATACACACAATGGTCCACAATGATAAGAGGCTAAATGCGGAGAATAGAGTCCAATTTATATTACATTACATTACTTCCTGTGAATTCAATGATAATTATTAAATTGCTGTTTGGGGGATCAATGTAGCAACAGGCAGTTGCTAGATTATTTCATGGTTACCATTAACTATAATATCACATGGAAGATATAGTTGGCCTCCTTTAAGTATTTGATTTGGTAACACCAATCCTCTAATTTCGAGATTATAAATTAACTAAAATCAAAATTTCATGCATTCAGAACTGGGAACTTGTTATTTAAAGCAACTCAAACCCAATTGTACACGACGGAATCAATTAGATATAATTAGTATAAGCAAAATTTGTAAGATCATTTTTGTTAATAAAAATAAATCACGCAACGTACAGTTGCAGTAGGGAAGGCCACCCGTCGGGCGTCTATATAAAGAGCGCGGCCGCGCAGCGGTCCGTCCATCCGATCGATCCCCCGTCCAATTCAAACGGGGATCGAAATTACGACGGCCTGAGCCGAGGTTCGAACCCCTAGATAAAGTCGTATCCGTCGGGCAGGAGTTGGCCTTCACCGCTCCATAAGTACCAAGATAACAACCGCTACGGCAACAGCATTTTTCCGCATTCACCGGCGAGACAGCGACCCGATAGGTGCCTTCCTACCAAGTACAAGATAACAACCGAGCATTTTTATTTCGCCGCCCGACCATACGACCAGGGGATCCTAGTATATAGTCCTGTCATCATCATTGTGGTCCTTCGAGAAGCCGGATCCCTGCACCAGGAAGAAAATCAAGATGGTCGTGACGCGAAGCATGAATGAAGAAGGCACTAAAACGAAAAACTCGCATGAATCCACCGAAAACGAAACAAGCGCCGAATCCTCTATGCAGTCAAGTCAAGTGGAGGACTCACCGAATAGAGAAGACACCTCCCAGAAAACAGTGAAGGCGAGGTCACACCGTTCCACGGTCTCAAGGAAAAAACTGGAAGAATTGGAGATTAAAGAACGACTGGCCAAGTTAAAAATCAAACAGCTGCAAGCAGAGGCAGATATGGAGATAGCGCGATTACAACGTTTACGGGCAGAAAAAGACTCCGAGGAAGAATATTCTGAAGAAGAAAATGAAGACTCCACGTGGGTGGATGCGTGGTTTGATCAACAGCCACGCGAAAAAGAAGTTCCTATGCCACGGGAGGAGAAACAAGATGAGGCAGCCGCGGAGAGGAAATTCAAGCAACCGCAGCAAACCATCGACGTTTCGACATTAACGACAGCACTACTGCAAGCATCAAGAAGACGACCAAGGGAGCCGCCTGCATATATACAAGAGTTGCCTATGTTCAGGGGCCTCTCTTATGAATGGTTATCATTCAAGGCAAGCTACGAAGATACACAGCAATACTTCTCGAAGATAGAAAACGTAGCACGCCTGCGAAAATGTATAAAGGGACCAGCACTAGACGCCGTGAGCAGCCTACTCCTGAGTCAACATGAACCAAATGTCATCATAGAAGCACTGGAAAGAAGATTCGGAAGACCAGAAGCACTCATACTCATCGAGATGGATAGAATCAAGTCACTGAGCAAGATCACCGATAACCCACGGGATCTCTGCGTGTTCGCCGGCAAAATAGCGAACACAGTCGCTACGATTGAAGCACTGAAGAAAACACAATATCTACACAGCCCAGAAATGACACGTCTCATCATAGAGAAGCTCACACCTATAATAAAAAATAAATGGTACGACTACGCGCTGAAAAAGGAAGACATCCCGGAATTGAAGAAAATGTCTGTCTTCCTAAACGAAGAGGCAGACAAATGTGCAGCGTACGCCGCGCCGGAACGTCTCGTTGAGAGCGAGACGGCAACAAGGGAGAGAGCGAGACGGAAGATCGAACATTCATTTGCTACTAATATGAAGCAAAACAATGAAAATGTATGTCCGCTGTGCAAACGCAACCATCAGCTGCCTGACTGCGAGCATTTCAATAACATCGACGTTAATTCAAGATGGGAAACTGCAAAGAAGAATAACATATGCTACAAGTGCCTGAGAAGTAAACATCGACGCGCCGTCTGCAGAGCTCCATGGTGTGGCAAATCTGGATGCCACATGAAACACCATCACTTGTTGCATCATGACAGAAAAGAAGAGGACCAGCTTCAACAACCACCAGAAGAGCATGGGGTGGTAACTTCTACGATGGAAGGCAATGAAGAATGTCTCCGACGTCGCGCCTATCTGAAAGTAGTACCTGTCATATTGCAAGGGCCGAAGAGCAAGATAGAAACATACGCTCTTCTCGACGAAGGCAGCACAGTGACACTCATCGATACATCGGTAGCTGACATCCTGGGTATTGATGGTCCGGCAAACACGATGTGGATACAGGGCGTCGGCGCCATGGTCAAGCATGAACACAGCAAGACAACCAGCGTGAAAATCAAGGGCAAACACTCTTCAACCATCTTCAAGCTAGATCAAGTCCGCACAGTGGATCGACTGGATATCACTACCCAGTCGGTCGTCGACAGCGACATAAAGGAGTGTGGTCACCTGAAAGAAATACAAGAAGAACTCGTCTACCACCGTGCCTCCCCCAAGTTATTAATAGGACAAGATAACTGGGATCTCATCGTGTCAAGAGAGGTACGGGCGGGACGTCGTGACCAACCGGTAGCATCCTACACGCTACTAGGTTGGGTTCTGCATGGTTGCAAGACGTCTCTCAGCAACCCGGTGACTTTCTGCGGGCACCTGGTGGAGAAGAAAGATGACGTCAACATAGAAGAAATGATGAAAAATTACTTCAAGCTGGAGTCACTATGCATCGAACCCAGAAAACCAAAAAATGATCCAGAGCAGCGAGCTTTGAAAATACTAGAACGAGAAAGTCGCCGTCTTCCGAATGGAAGATATGAAACTGGGCTACTCTGGCGAGAAGACAGCATGAAAATACCGAACAATTACACCGAAGCAAGAAAACGTCTGCATAACCTCGAAAAGAGATTAGACAGAGATGAAGACCTGAAAATTAAATACAACGAACGAATCAATAACCTACTCACGTCGGGGTATGCAGAGCACGCCAAGACACCGCCAGCTGAAGACAGAACATGGTACCTGCCACACTTCCCGGTTGCGAACCCAGCGAAGCCACACAAGCCGCCGCGACTGGTGCATGACGCCTCCGCTAAGACTGCAGGTCTCAGCCTAAACGACCTGCTGCTTTCTGGACCTGACCTGTTGCAATCACTGCCTGGGGTGGTGATGAGGTTCAGACAGTACGCCTACGGAGTCTCTGCAGATATCAAAGAGATGTTTATGCAAGTAAAAATTAAGAAAGAAGACCGCGACGCGCTCCGTTTCCTGTGGAGAGGTGACCGGCGGGAGGGCGACCCAGACGAGTACCGCATGACGTCATTAATATTCGGAGCGACGTCATCACCCTGCACCGCTCTGTATATAAAAAACCGCAACGCAGAAGACTACGCGCATATATATCCCGACGCCGCAATCGCTATACGAAGAAATCATTATATGGACGACTATCTACAAAGCTTCTCATCAATCTCAGAAGCCAGAAAAATAACAAGAGAAGTCGATTATATACATAAACAAACCGGCTTCGTACTCAGCGGATGGGCATCAAACAATCGCAATACTATCGACGAGTTTATAGCAAGCGAGCGAGACAACACTTCAGAGAGCGGGACAAATAGTACAGCGGTTCTGATTGGCGGGAGCGATACTGAGCGAGCTCTCGGCTTGTTATGGGATATAAATGAAGACATAATTGGATTTCAAGTTAACAAAATAAAAACGCCGCAAGATATATTAGAAAACAAACGGATACCAACGAAAAGAGAAGCGCTCAGCATCATCATGGCACTCTTCGACCCCCTTGGCCTCATATCACCCATCACAACGCCAGCGAAAAGATTACTGCAAGATACATGGCGCTATAAAACAGGCTGGGACGAATCGCTACCAGAAGAACTGCAGCCAGCATGGAGTACTTGGTTGACATCATTGCGAACTGTACACAAGATACGCATACCACGATGCTATGATGTCACACCAGTGGTCACCCATCATCTGCATACCTTCGTGGATGCCAGTGAAGAGGCGTACGCCGCGGCAGTGTACTGGCTGTCACAAAGAGCCGACGGTACCACACATGTCACCTTGGCCGCCGCTAAAAGTCGCGTCGCACCGCTCAAGCCCGTCTCAATCCCGAGACTTGAACTTCAAGCTGCGTTAATGGGTGCGCGCCTCACACATACCGTGGCGGAGGAGCACGACTACGAAATAGCGAGTAAAACATACTGGAGCGACTCTCGGACAGTCCTAGCATGGATAAGGTCAGAACCAAGGGCCTTTAAGACCTTTGTGGCTCACCGCCTGGCTGAAATAGAAGACACAACAAAAAAAAATGAATGGCGATGGGTCCCTACACATGAAAATGTAGCTGATGATGCCACCCGAGGTATACCAAGCGAATTCGGACCACAACACAGATGGTTCAACGGGCCATCATTTTTACATCAGCCAGAAAACGAGTGGCCGCGAGAAACAAGGACAGCGATATCAGTCACGGGCGAAGAGCGAGAGAGATGCCATGTGACCGTTACAAGTACGGCTCACGCACACTTACCTGACATCGACC